AAATATGGAAGTTATTGTATACCTACTATGTATTCCGTAGCCTTTTTGTTGCTAATTTTTTTTCCCCAAATTAATGCTGACTCATAATTTCAGGTATAATGTGCTGGGCCTGTCAGCAACCATTGGAGATCCATTTTTTAAATCGTTGGACTTCCACTCTGTTGCTGTGGCACTGATGGAGAATGTACAGTCAATGGAATTCAGGCATATAAGGCAACTTGTTCATTCTGTTTTAATATATTTGGTTAAATTTTGTCCTCCTGATATGTGGGAGGCCTGGCTGGAAAAGTTGCTGCACCCATTATTTGTCCACTGTCAACAAGCTCTTAGCTGCTCTTGGTCCAGCCTTATGCATGAAGGTAGAGCAAAGGTTCCAGATCTCCATGGGATTGTTGCTGGGTCTGACTTAAAAGTGGAAGTAATGGAGGAGAAACTACTTCGTGATCTGACTCGTGAGATATGTTCACTTCTCTCTATAATGGCCTCTTCAGGATTAAATACAGGGCTTCCTGCTTTAGAGCAGTCAGGGCAATTCACCCGTGTAGACATGTTGTCTCTGAAAGATTTGGATTCTTTCTCATCAAGCTCTATGGTTGGGTATGTGGCATGCATCCTGCTTCTATAAAAGTAGCCTTTCTGTTGCTTTATGATAGTATTTATAGATTCTTTAGTTTTCATATTCTGCCACAGACACTAATTTCCACTGAATATTGATAATCATGACAGGTTCCTTTTGAACCACAAAGAACTTGTCCTTCCAGTGTTGCGGATTTCCATACAAGCTTTCACATGGACAGATGGTGAAGCCGTGACAAAAGTTTCTTCCTTCTGTACTGCGGTGATTGTTCTGGCTATATCATCAAATAATGAGGAGCTTCGACAGTTCGTTTCAAAAGATCTTTTTTCTGCGGCTATCCAAGGTTTGATCCTTGAGTCAAATGCTGTTATCAGTGCTGATCTGGTTGGTCTCTGTCGCGAAATATTCGTATATATGTGTGATAGGGATCCAGCTCCAAGGCAGGTTAGTCGTAACGCCTCATATTTTGAAAAGTTTGCTTAAAATATAAAGTAGGAATTTGGTATATAACCCAAGGCATTGATTGATTTTTTTGTTCAGGTTCTACTCTCTCTTCCATGTATTACCCCACAAGATTTGCATGCTTTTGAAGATGCCTTAACGAAGACATCTAGCCCAAAGGAACAAAAACAACATATGAAGAGCTTGCTGTTGCTAGGTACTGGGAACCAGTTAAAAGCACTTGCTGCTCAGAAAAGTGTTAATGTTATCACCAATGTTTCAGGTAAGCACTTTCATTTTAATTTTCACTTATTCTCTCCCTTAAGCTGTTTCTAAATCTCATCTGTAGCTTAAGACCCAATTTCAACATATAATGAGCTTTCCTTCATTTGTATATTCTCCAATTCTGATAAGCAGTAAAATGCATATGTATTTAGTAGCTTGTTTTGCTCCTATTTACAGCAAGGCCACGCAGCTCAGTCAATGTTCCGCAAACCAGAATCGAAGAGGGGGAAACTGTGGGATTGGCAGCCATTTTGTGAAGGATACTTATAATTTGGCAGAGTTGTACAATGATGAATTACACCGAGGAGTTATTTGACAGATATACCGAGGAAAAAGGCATCTTTTTTGCTGCCATAGCTCTACAGGGGTTGTGCAACCAGTTCACCCTCTTAGGCTACCTCAAAATGTAATTTTGAGTAAATATATAGAATTCTTATACCCTCTTTACTTTTATCATCATTAATAACTTTCTTGCAGTTCCCGTAAGTATATTTCAAATTGTTGGGATGATTGGCTTCTTACTTGTTTTCACTGTCTCTCATCAGTGTGGCTTCTTACTTCTTCACCTGACTTCCGTCTTCATGCTTGTGATTTTTTCAAACTTGTCTCACCAAGGTAATTAATTGTTTAATCTCTTCTTTAGTTTGAATATCTTTTCCCTGGAAGAATCTTCCCATGACTGATTACACTCTTAATTTGAATTGCAGAAAGAGACCTTTTGATTGCTCTTCATCAGCTTCTGAATTTGATTCTGCAATGCGTGACGTCTTTCAGATCCTGATGAATGTCTCTGGAGAATTTTTACATAGATCTGTAACAAATGCTGGGTTATAGATGAAAGTGAGTTTGAGTTTGCAGAATATATATGTAGAGCATGGTGTCTCTGGGTTCTGCAAACTTGCAATGTATTTCTGGTGATGACGCTAAACTTACTATTTACCTACAGCAGGTAATCCCTCTAGGCTAGGCTCCTCTGATAACCTAAAGCTGATTTGGCATTCAATTTTAAGGCTTTGAGTTGAAATTTAGTCCATAGGTCTCTTGTATTTTAGTTCATGCAGGTTTTTGCTTTATTAAATAGCTATTAACTTGTTTATGTTGAATCTAAACTTCATTTTGGCACTCTATGGCATTGGTTATAATTTTCTTTTTATTTTAAAGTTCTGGTCAAATTTTTTATTCTTGGGTTTGACATGGGCTTCTTTTGCACAATGATCAGCAGTCTACAATCTAGCTCTGTTTTCAGTGCATGAATAGATTGTTCAGTATTTCTTTGGTCCTTATATATATATTTCTAATCTTTTGTAGTATACGATTGAATTATGCAATTTAACTTTCTGATATCCATCCAGATGCTAGGGTATTTTCAACATTTGAAGGTAGCCCTTCATTTCCAATCCCTATTATTTGGCTGGTACGTGGCAATTGTCACTAATTTTTTTTTAACTTTTGGTGATAGGCTGGATGGTTGTATTTTAACATTTTCATGTTTGTTTGCTTTTGTAGGGACTAATGAGAGATTTGATGTCAAAACCTAAAGCACTATCATCTGGAGATGGATCAGCTGTTAATAATCAGACTCTAGTTCGACAGGTTGATATGAAAAGAGAAAGATTTTGAGTTTCGTGAATGATGATGTTTGTAGTGCAATTCTTGACATATCTTTCCAGCGCATGCTTAAGAAAGAAAAGTTTTTCCGGAACAGCCCTTACTCTGGGGTCCCTGGAGTTTGGAGTGGTGATTTTGAAGGCAAGGTGATTTCGGCCAGTATCGTTCTAGGCTGGTATATTTTACATTGATCTGATTCAGATGCTTTTGTTTTACATGCTTATTCTGATATCCTTTGATGTGGGAGTTTTAATTCTTCTGGAACTTGTAGTGTTTGGCCATGGATCACAATATTCATGTTTTGTGCTGGTGTTACGAGTTTCTTTCATATGTTTTGAAAGTACCTCCAATTTTGCCAAGGGGATGTTGAACTATCCTTGGAATTCTGCTCTATATATCCACGTCATTGATTTATGTTATAACTCATCTTATGAAATGGTTTTATTTGGACATTATTTTTTTGAAATAAAAAAACAAAAGTACAGATAAATATTTTGCACTTATATATATACATGTTTATGTAAGCCTTTTCATCTCTTTTTAATTTTTTATTTTACCCTTCCTCAGCTATAATCCATTAACCATGTAAACTTGAGTCTACTAAAGTCTGTGCATATCTTTTTACATTAAAATTCAGATATTTGAGACTAGGTTGTCAGTTGATGAATCATACACTTGCTGTTTCTTTTATACTTTGCATAAATTTTTCTTTTCCTGATAAATCTCTTGATGCAGTTGGAGCTGGTCAAATTTGTCTCCTTAACAAGCCTCTCATAGCTGGGTTAAAGTTCTGAAAGAGTTATTGCATCTATTAAAAGTCTCTTGAGTTCTCCAACACCTGCTCAGGTTTGATTAAAATGCTTATTAGTGATCAGTATTGGGTGCCTAATAATTAGCTTCCAAGCTGTGGAGGATGTATCATTCACTATTACTTCATGCTATCTTTTGTTATTAAACAATTCTTTATGATATTCAGGATTTAGCTGTGATGGAAAGCATGCAATCTGCTCTAGAAAATGTTGTGAGTGCAGTTTTTGATGGACCCAATGAAGTTGGTGAGGCCACTTCTGAAGTTCATGTTGCCCTTGTGCAGAATATTTGAAGGTTTCTTAGTGCTTTATTTGTCTCTTACATTTAGATCTTTATTATGATGATCTACTGAAAAACTCTGGTTGCATTGTAGGTTTACTTCAACAACTTCTTTCTTTGAAGTGACTGAGCCACCCTGGTGGAAGCTCTCGGGAACTATTTAATTGCACTGGCCCCTTTCTGAAACATTTTCCAGATGCAGTTGGAGTGTCATCAACAAACTGTTTGAGCTCTAACTTCACTTCCATTTGTTGTTAAGGTTATCTGCCAACTTTATTGTCATTTTAATTATCATTGCTTACAGAGAGGATTTATATATTCCTGCTCTCACTAACCATATATTGCTTGACAGGATCCTGCAACGAGTAGGGCACGCCATGCAGATTACAGATTTGTGCATCATTTATTAGAATGGCCAAAGCTGCTGATAAAATTGTTCTGCCTCACATGAAGGTGACTTCTTCTTCTTTTAGTGGCAAAACAGTGACATGTACTATTGGGGTATGGAATTGATCTGGTTTTGGAAATTAAAGATGGAGATTAATCTGAGTAGAGATGGTTAATATGTAACTGTAGGCCAAGTCCTTGTGGGACCGAACAAAAGCAATGGAACTTGTTAATGCTATGTTACCAGATTTGTTTTTTTTTTTTTTTGTTGGTCATGTGGACTGTGCTAATTGCTCTTTTACTTTCCTTAACGAAACTGATGGAATGGCTCCACAGACTTTGGCTGAATGAGATAATTTAGCTTTACAATAGAAATCACTGTTTGTACTAGATGAAAACGTTATAGAACTTTTATTATATTTCCCTGAACCAAAATGTAGAAATCCTTTTGTCATCCTTGGCTGCCTTTGATTGAAGAAGCTAAGATTTTCAGAGAGATTTCGTACTCACTTCATTGGATTGTTTTCTATGAGGGCATAGCTGACACCTGGCATATTTACAAGAGAAGTTGTTTCATCGTATGAACATACTTCTAGGGGAAGCATTTCTTGTTATGGCTTCTGCTGGGTAATTATTTGATTACCACGGATCAACATTATATTTTGTTTATGTTAATTTTCTTAAGTTTGCAAACTATCAACTTGTGCAGGATTCAGCAGCAGCAAGAAGTTTTGGCCTGGTTACTTGAACCTTTGAGCCAACAATGGACACAGCTTGAGGTGGCAAAATAAGTACTTGTCTGATCCACTAGGTCTTGTTTGCTTGTGCTCTGACACATCATTCATGTGGTCCACTTTTTCACACCGGTGACATTCTTTGAGAAGGCACTTAAAAGAAGTGGAACAAGAAAGGCGTATAATTTACAGAACAACTCAGCTGAAAGTTCAAATTTTCTTCATCCAATGGCTTCTCATCTTTCATGGTATGGTTGTGGTGTTATTCTACTTTCTATTGTGAAAAACTTATTGAGTTTTAGGCCTTAGAAAGAAAGAAAAATTGGTTTCTGTGAATTCAACTTCTTGAATGTGGTAACCTTGTGAAATTTTATGAGAGGGATGAGTGGTTTGATTTAGGTTCAGGCTTTAAACAAAAGAGTATTAGTGATCAGACCGTTAAATTCAGTACTATACATTTGTGCTGTTGAAATATAGCTATGATTGGGTGTTTGTTTTTGAGGATCACTTTGCTACTTTGTGCTAATTTAGAGTTTTTAGTTCCAAACAGGCTTTGAGAATGGACTATTATTCTATTAGAAAAGAGGCAAAATTGAAAATGTGCTCCTTACGTGCTATCTGTTATTTGCAGGTAAAAACAGGAGAGATACGGTTTTTGGCGAGCACATCATTCCTTCTAGTGAAAAAGGATTGGTCTTCTGAAATCCGATTACATGCATTTAAAATGCTCCAGGTTCATGCTGAAAAGAATTTTTTTCTGTCCTTACGGTTGATCTAACTCATCCAGTATGATGGAAATTGATATGTTTCGAAATGTTATGTTATAAAAATCATCTTTGAGGTGCTATAGATTAAATCGGCTGAATTCTGATTGCATGCATTTAAAATGCTGCATGACAGTTTTAACTTGAATTAGCATATTTCCTAGGAAAGAAATAATGCTTAACTGTCCATCATATACAATATTTGCCAATCACTAGTGATATAGATTCAATGTGTTTATCTATGTTTTAAGCAATTTCAATTAGTGAACTGAAAATTCTTATCAATATTGGAGCATATCTATGGTTCGGAAATTTGAATTAGGCGAATCATAATTCTGATAACTTTGCAACCTAGATACGCAAATTTTGATTCAAAGAATTTGCAAAGATGGTTTTAATGTGAAACACCCAATGCCTGTTGAATTCCATGTAACAAAAAATTATTTCTTAATTAGCTGCTACAGGTTATAAGTGTTTAAATTTTGAAGATAAATTTAGTGGTTTGACTGTAGCATATGTATCTTTCTGCAGCACTTGGTCCGATTACGGTGGGAGGAATTGAACCCTACAGAACGTAGGGACTTTGCAAATGTTGCAGTCGACTTAATGTCTGAGATTGCAGATCCTTGTGAAGAATGGGCTTTGAAAAGTCAGACAGCTGCCCTTCTTGCTGAGGTTTTCATTACTCTGCTCTTAACTTTTGTTTAGGCTCTTTTTTATTTTATTTTGTTTTAATGATTTCAGTTTCCTGGTTGCAGTACTCATTTGTTTTGCTCTTTAACAGATAGTTAGAAGAGAAGGCATAAATCTGTGGCAAGAGCTATTTCCATCTCTAGTTTCTTTATCCAGCAAGGGTCCCATACAAGTATTTCTAACTTATCCTGCTTTGCAGCAATTATTTTGCTTTCTTACTCTTAATAGGTAATTGTACTGATCTTTTCCTTTTATATTAGGCTGAGTTGGTTTCAATGATGCTAAGGTGGCTTCCTGAAGATATTACAGTTCACAATGAAGATCTAGAAGGTCTGTGGTCTGTTCCTTGGTCATGCTCCTTTAGAGTGTGTGCGTGCCAAAAATAAGTATTATGTACTTTGGAAACTCTTAAGCACTTTGAATGCTATATTTTAGAATGTAAGCAGCCGATCTATGAACATCTGAATCCAAATGACAAGTATGGGTGTAGAGTTTCCAAAGTTTCATTTAGAGTTTGTTGCTAATGCCTGATTGGTCAAAGATGGAAAAGTAGAGAAATGAAAAATTGAAGAAACAGCATAGTGCTTTCCTTCTTTGTGTTTCATAGGAAGGATGGATCGCTGGAGGATGGGGAACAAAAATTGGGGATCAATATGTTCTTAATAACTTTTACTGTTGGTCACTCTCTTTGCCATCCTTTTTGGGATGATTAGATAATGAGGATGTAAAAGTACCGCTCTTCCCTCTTCAATCCTTTCCTTTTCTCATTATACCAAATGAAAGAAAAGTGTCATTCACTATCCCTTCATCCTTCTGCTGTCCTCTCCTATCAACCTAGCCTTAGTTTAGTGGGTGTTCTTCCTTTAGCGGCTGTTTTTTCCATCATATTTTTGTTGTTCTTGTTAAGTATATTTCTTTGAAACTTTAACTTCTTTTTAGATTTGTGTTGTTTGTGTCACTTACCCTGATTCTGAATGGATATCCAGGTGATCGACGTAGACTGCTTTTGCGGGGACTTACTCAATCTTTGCCTGAAATTTTGCCTTTATTGTACACTGTATGTCTCACTCTTGGTTGTACTACAAGTTAGTTGTTTTAGCATTAATGTGATGCCAGAATTTTTTACACAGTTACTGGAAAGACACTTTGGAGCTGCAATAAGTGAAGTTGGTAGACAACAATTAGACATTGCAAAGCAGCATGCAGCTGCAGTAACAGCTACTTTGAATGCTATAAACGCATACGCTGAATGGGCTCCTTTGCCTGATCTTGCTAAATATGGCATCATTCATGGGTATAATAACTTTTCTTGCAGTTCCCGTAGAGTATAATTTCAAATTGTTGGGATTGATTGGCTTCTTACTTGTTTTCACTGTCTCTCATCAGGTGTGGCTTCTTACTTTCTTCACCTGACTTCCGTCTTCATGCTTGTGAATTTTTCAAACTTGTCTCACCAAGGTAATTTTATTGTTTAATCTCTTCTTTAGTTTGAATATCTTTTCCCTGGAAGAATCTTCCCATGACTGATTTAACTCTTAATTTGAATTGCAGAAAGAGACCTTTTGATGCTTCTTCATCAGCTTCTGAATTTGATTCTGCAATGCATGATGTCTTTCAGATCCTGATGAATGTCTCTGGAGAATTTTTACATAGATCTGTAACAAATGCTGGGGTTATAGATGAAAGTGAGTTTGAGTTTGCAGAATATATATGTGAGAGCATGGTGTCTTTGGGTTCTGCAAACTTGCAATGTATTTCTGGTGATGACGCTAAACTTACTATTTACCTACAGCAGGTAATCCCTCTAGGCTAGGCTCCTCTGATATGACCTAAAGCTGATTTGGCATTCAATTTTAAGGCTTTGAGTTGAAATTTAGTCCATAGGTCTCTTGTATTATTAGTTCATGCAGGTTTTTGCTTTATTAAATAGCATATTCAACTTGTTTATGTTGAATCTAAACTTCATTTTGGCACTCTATGGCATTGGTTATATAATTTTCTTTTTATTTTAAAGTTCTGGTCAAATTTTTTATTCTTGGGTTTGACATGGGCTTCTTTTGCACAATGATCAGCAGTCTACAATCTAGCTCTGTTTTCAGTGCATGAATAGATTGTTCAGTATTTCTTTGGTCCTTATATATATATTTCTAATCTTTTGTGAGTATAACGATTGAATTATGCAATTTAACTTTCTGATATCCATCCAGATGCTAGGGTATTTTCAACATTTGAAGGTAGCCCTTCATTTCCAATCCCTATTATTTTGGCTGGTACGTGGCAATTGTCACTAATTTTTTTTTTAACTTTTGGTGATAGGCTGGATGGTATGTAAATTTTAACATTTTTCATGTTTGTTTGCTTTTGTAGGGACTAATGAGAGATTTGATGTCAAAACCTAAAGCACTATCATCTGGAGATGGATCAGCTGTTAATAATACAGACTCTAGTTCAGGACAGGTTGATAATGAAAAGAGAAAGATTTTGAGTTTCGTGAATGATGATGTTTGTAGTGCAATTCTCGACATATCTTTCCAGCGCATGCTTAAGAAAGAAAAAGTTTTTCCTGGAACAGCCCTTACTCTGGGGTCCCTGGTGTTGTGGAGTGATGATTTTGAAGGCAAGGGTGATTTCGGCCAGTATCGTTCTAGGCTGGTATATTTTACATTGATCTGAATTCAGATGCTTTTGTTTTACATGTCTTATTCTGATATCCTTTTGATGTGGGAGTTTTAATTCTTCTGGAACTTGTAGTGTTTGGGCCATGGATCACAATATTCATGTTTTTGTGGACTGTTATTCCGATTTTCTTTCATATGTTTTGAAAGTACCTCCAATTTTGCCAAAGGGAGATGTTGAAGTATCCTTGGAATTCTGCTTATATATATCCACGTCATTGATTTATTTTATAACTACATCTTATGAAAATGGTTAATTATATTGGACATTATTTTTTTGAAATAGGAAAAAACAAAAGTACAGATAAATATTTTGCACTTATATATATAACATGTTTATGTAAGCCTTTTCATCTCTTTTTAATTTTTATTTTCTACCCTTCCTCAGCTATAATCCATTAACCATGTTAAACTTGAGTCTACTAAAGTACTGTGCATATCTTTGTTACATTAATAAATTCAGATATTTGAGACTAGGTTGTCAGTTGATGAATCATGCACTTGCTGTTTCTTTTATACTTTGCATAAATTTTTCTTTTCCTGATAAATCTCTTGATGCAGTTGGAGCTGGTCAAATTTGTCTCCTCTAACAAGCCTCTCATAGCTGGTGTTAAAGTTTCTGAAAGAGTTATTGCAATCATTAAAAGTCTCTTGAGTTCTCCAACACCTGCTCAGGTTTGATTAAAATGCTTATTATGGGATCAGTATTGGGTGCCTAATAATTAGCTTTCCAAGCTGTGGAGGATGTATCATTCACTATTACTTCATGCTTATCTCTTTGTTATTAAAACAATTCTTTATGATATTCAGGATTTAGCTGTGATGGAAAGCATGCAATCTGCTCTAGAAAATGTTGTGAGTGCAGTTTTTGATGGACCCAATGAAGTTGGTGGGGCCACTTCTGAAGTTCATGTTGCCCTGTGCAGAATATTTGAAGGTTTCTTAGTGCTTTATTTGTCTCTTACATTTAGATCTTTATTATTATGATCTACTGAAAAACTCTGGTTGCATTGTAGGTTTACTTCAACAACTTCTTTCTTTGAAGTGGACTGAACCACCCCTGGTGGAAGCTCTCGGGAACTATTTAATTGCACTGGGCCCCTTTCTGAAACATTTTCCAGATGCAGTTGGGAGTGTCATCAACAAACTGTTTGAGCTTCTAACTTCACTTCCATTTGTTGTTAAGGTTATCTGCCAACTTTTATTGTCATTTTTAATTATCATTGCTTACAGAGAGGATTTATATATTCCTGCTCTCACTAACCATATATTTGCTTGACAGGATCCTGCAACGAGTAGGGCACGCCATGCAAGATTACAGATTTGTGCATCATTTATTAGAATGGCCAAAGCTGCTGATAAAAGTGTTCTGCCTCACATGAAGGTGACTTCTTCTTTTATTGGCAAAAAAGTGACATGTACTATTGGGGTATGGAATTGATCTGGTTATTTGGAAATTAAAGATGGAGATTAATCTGAGTAGGAGATGGTTAATATGTAACTGTAGGCCAAGTCCTGGTGGGACCGAACAAAAGCAATGGAACTTGTTAATGCATATGTTACCAGAAGTTAGTTTTTTTTTGGTCATGTGGACTGTGCTAATTGCTCTTTTACTTTCCTGTAACGAAACTGATGTAATGGCTCCACAGGACCTTGGCTGGAATGGAGATAATTTAGCTTTACAATAAGAAATCACTGTTTGTACTAAGTGAAAACGATTATAGAACTTTTATTATATTTCCCCTGAACCAAAATGTAGTAAAATCCTTTTGTCATCCTATGTCTGCCTTTGATTGAAGAAGCTAAGATTTTCAGAGAGATTTCGTACTCACTTCATTGGATTGTTTTCTATGAAGGGCATAGCTGACACCATGGCATATTTGCAAAGAGAAGGTTGTTTGCATCGTAGTGAACATAATCTTCTAGGGGAAGCATTTCTTGTTATGGCTTCTGCTGCTGGGTAATTATTTGATTACCACGGATCAACATTATATTTTGTTTATGTTAATTTTCTTAACGTTTGCAAAACTATCAACTTGGTGCAGGATTCAGCAGCAGCAAGAAGTTTTGGCCTGGTTACTTGAACCTTTGAGCCAACAATGGACACAGCTTGAGTGGCAAAATAAGTACTTGTCTGATCCACTAGGTCTTGTTTGCTTGTGCTCTGACACATCATTCATGTGGTCACTTTTTCACACGGTGACATTCTTTGAGAAGGCACTTAAAAGAAGTGGAACAAGAAAAGGCAGTATGAATTTACAGAACAACTCAGCTGAAAGTTCAAATTTTCTTCATCCAATGGCTTCTCATCTTTCGTGGATGCTACCTCCTCTCCTGAAAGTATGTATTTTGCTTTTATGTTCTGATCATTTTGAGTTTCCTCATTCATATTGCTCATCATGATTTGTAATTTATGAGCCATCTTGCTGTGACATTATCTTCACCCTAAGCACATTGTAGTAAGCCTGTTTTTGTTAATCTGCAGCTCCTTCGTGCTATACATTCCATTTGGTCTCCGTCCATACATCAAATGTTGCCTGCAGAGGTAAAAGCAGCAATGACCATGAGTGATGTTGAGTGGTCCAGCCTTCTTGGCGGAGGTAATCCTAAACCATTGAAGGGTGCTTTGACTTTCACAGACGGATCACAGTTTGAGACTAGCCGGGAAGGATATGGAGAGCCTAATGAATCTGATATACGAAATTGGTTAAAGGGTGTCAGAGACAGTGGGTAAGTATGGTTTTGGGTTTGTCCTGTGGCATGGAAGCTAGTTTTTTATGTACAATTTAGTGTTCTGTGAATTTTTTCTTAATTGAAAAAAGGAATTATATTAAGATGTAGAAGAATGGGGAGGAAAGGGTGTCCTTCTGAGAAATACAAAATGTCAGGGGAGTGAGGAACTCAACAGCCGTATGAGCCAGAAGAACTATAGCAGTTACAACCCCAATTGTATATCATTGATGTATATTATGTCCTCGCAGTAGATAAAGGATTAGTGATCAGATTACATAATAAGAAGCAAATAGTAGCCTTAGAGTCAAAATATGGAAGTTATTGTATACCTACTATGTATTCCGTAGCCTTTTTGTTGCTAATTTTTTTTCCCCAAATTAATGCTGACTCATAATTTCAGGTATAATGTGCTGGGCCTGTCAGCAACCATTGGAGATCCATTTTTTAAATCGTTGGACTTCCACTCTGTTGCTGTGGCACTGATGGAGAATGTACAGTCAATGGAATTCAGGCATATAAGGCAACTTGTTCATTCTGTTTTAATATATTTGGTTAAATTTTGTCCTCCTGATATGTGGGAGGCCTGGCTGGAAAAGTTGCTGCACCCATTATTTGTCCACTGTCAACAAGCTCTTAGCTGCTCTTGGTCCAGCCTTATGCATGAAGGTAGAGCAAAGGTTCCAGATCTCCATGGGATTGTTGCTGGGTCTGACTTAAAAGTGGAAGTAATGGAGGAGAAACTACTTCGTGATCTGACTCGTGAGATATGTTCACTTCTCTCTATAATGGCCTCTTCAGGATTAAATACAGGGCTTCCTGCTTTAGAGCAGTCAGGGCAATTCACCCGTGTAGACATGTTGTCTCTGAAAGATTTGGATTCTTTCTCATCAAGCTCTATGGTTGGGTATGTGGCATGCATCCTGCTTCTATAAAAGTAGCCTTTCTGTTGCTTTATGATAGTATTTATAGATTCTTTAGTTTTCATATTCTGCCACAGACACTAATTTCCACTGAATATTGATAATCATGACAGGTTCCTTTTGAACCACAAAGAACTTGTCCTTCCAGTGTTGCGGATTTCCATACAAGCTTTCACATGGACAGATGGTGAAGCCGTGACAAAAGTTTCTTCCTTCTGTACTGCGGTGATTGTTCTGGCTATATCATCAAATAATGAGGAGCTTCGACAGTTCGTTTCAAAAGATCTTTTTTCTGCGGCTATCCAAGGTTTGATCCTTGAGTCAAATGCTGTTATCAGTGCTGATCTGGTTGGTCTCTGTCGCGAAATATTCGTATATATGTGTGATAGGGATCCAGCTCCAAGGCAGGTTAGTCGTAACGCCTCATATTTTGAAAAGTTTGCTTAAAATATAAAGTAGGAATTTGGTATATAACCCAAGGCATTGATTGATTTTTTTGTTCAGGTTCTACTCTCTCTTCCATGTATTACCCCACAAGATTTGCATGCTTTTGAAGATGCCTTAACGAAGACATCTAGCCCAAAGGAACAAAAACAACATATGAAGAGCTTGCTGTTGCTAGGTACTGGGAACCAGTTAAAAGCACTTGCTGCTCAGAAAAGTGTTAATGTTATCACCAATGTTTCAGGTAAGCACTTTCATTTTAATTTTCACTTATTCTCTCCCTTAAGCTGTTTCTAAATCTCATCTGTAGCTTAAGACCCAATTTCAACATATAATGAGCTTTCCTTCATTTGTATATTCTCCAATTCTGATAAGCAGTAAAATGCATATGTATTTAGTAGCTTGTTTTGCTCCTATTTACAGCAAGGCCACGCAGCTCAGTCAATGTTCCGCAAACCAGAATCGAAGAGGGGGAAACTGTGGGATTGGCAGCCATTTTGTGAAGGATTCTTATAATTTGGCAGAGTTGTACAGTGATGAATTACACCGAGGAGTTATTTGACAGATATACCGAGGAAAAAGGCATCTTTTTTGCTGCCATAGCTCTACAGGGGTTGTGCAACCAGTTCACCCTCTTAGGCTACCTCAAAATGTAATTTTGAGTAAATATAAAGAATTCTTATACCCTCTTTACTTTTATCATCATGGAAATGAGGTTTGTATTTGTACATGAATATGTTGTACTTCTTGTCTCATTGGCAGTTTAATACCACAAATGCACACCTGGTGTTGCTTTTGAAATTCCTGTCTTTCAAGGTTCCGCTTGCTATCTCCAGTAAAGAAACTTCAATTTTTTGTTTGGGTTAAAATCCAAAGCAACCAATATTTGTAAGGTGGAATTTTCCACTACACTGGATGCTATGGATACCGAATCTTTGTAGACCATTGGATGAAGATTAAAATATCGTTTTATTTTCCAGTAATGTTAATTGGGTTTAAGGCCGATATGGTACTGTTAAACTATCATAGAATGAGACTTGTAAGAATGTTAGATTAGTTTCAAAATAAAGTAATAGTTTGTGATCCAACGCGATTCGCATGTTTTGGACTTTTGGTTGCTGCAATAATCTCATATACACTTTCGGGGCGTTTGGTTCAGGGAATGTTGAATTATTGGGAATGTTATATTAAAGGACAGATAGATTACCTTGAGAGTGCGTTTGGTTGGGGGTAATAGGGGATTATTGAGGTAATGTCATTATATATTATTTGATTATCACGTTTGGTTATCAAATAATATAAGATTCTAGTAATCTTTTAAAACCAATAGTAGGGGTGAGCGGTTTTGAGTATCTTGCATTTTTTTAGGGAACCGAAGCCGGAGCTGCATAGCACAAGTTTTCAAAAAAAGGAATAGGAATTGGAAATTCAAGGAACTGAAACCTAAAGTGTAGGTTCTGGTTCCTTACCATGGTACTCTGTAAAAAATCAATTACCCCCCTATTAGTTTAAATATGACAAAAATACCTTAAAAGTTTACAACTACACTCCTAATAAATTAAGAAAACCTACATTTAGTAATTTTCAACTTTTGATTACTCATTCATTTATGTCCAATGTGACTCATAAATCCTCTAATTTCTAGGCAACACTTGAATTTAATCAATTCATTACAATTCACATAAAATTTCTCAATCAAAACCAAAACACAAACAAGTTCCAAGCTGGGGTACCTGCTTCAGATTCTTTTCCTAGGTTCTGGTTTCAGTTTCAAAACCTGTAAGAACTGGAACCGCATAGTGTCGGTTCCAATAAAATGGAACCGGAACCTACTTGCACAATGTTAGTTTCGGGTAGGTTTCGGTTCCAGTTTCGGTTCTACCTGCTACCCTTGCTCACCCCTAACCAATATTAGTTACTGTTGGTAATATAAAAGGTAATCTGATTACCTTTATTTTAAGATTACTTGGTAATCTTATTTTTGTTACAATTTTATCCTTTATTAATAAAATTTTAGGACAATAATGCCCTTGTTTTAAAAACAATTTACAAAAATGGTAATGGACTATTTTATCATTATATACAAAGTTTTTAGGACATATATGCCCTTGGAATTAAAAAAAAAAAAAAAAATTATCCAAGGTGATGGTCGGATTTGGCCACCATTGCCAGTTGTCGGCCACCACCACTCGCGTTGATGAAATGACGCACGATCGATTGGATCTAATTGGTCGTGTACCACTAAGGTTGTTTTCGGCCGTGGATTTGTGATCCATGACCAAAAACACCCAAATCTGGTCATTTCACAGCCAAAGATGTGGCCGTGAAATGGTCACAGATCTAGCCGTGAAACGATGGCCACATTTCCACTATCGCTGTTGCGGGTAGTGGCTTGGGGTGGGTGGGGGTGTTTTAAACTTTTTTTGTTGTTGTGGTGTTTTAGCTAAATCTGAAATGTAAGAGGTTAAAAAATTTATTCAAAACTTATGGACAATCCTTGGAAGAAAGGACATGGGAAATCCACAAAATGCAAATATAGATATGCACAGCCTGGAAAGTAAAAGTCACGAGGGAAACATGGTTTAAAGAATTTGAATGCAAATGTGATCAAATAAGCCTCTAATTTTGATACATTTTGAACTCAGAGACCAGAGCAGCCTTGAATGGTAGATATTGAAGAAGACTGGTAGGTGCAAAGTGTTTGATACTAAGACTCCATTGAGGGTTAGGAACAATGTGAACAAACTTGGTGGATGCTTCTAGGTTAAGCGATAACTTTCCCGTATGGGGCTTTGTTCCATTCTCAAAAACTTACCAAAATCTTAGTCTCTTTAAATATATATATATATATACATATACACACGTATTTGCAGCAAGAGAAGAGAAAGCTTGTGAGTTGGGGTGTTTTGTCAAGTGTGTTTCTGGGTAGTGCTTTAAAGAGAGAGCTAGTAGCAAGTAATGGGACCAGGAGGACCAGGGCCACCAGGGTGGGGTCCACCGCCGCCTGGTCCTGGCGGACCGCCGGGATTCTTCGGTGGCTTTTGTGACATTATTGGGTCATGGTACGTAGCATATGAATTTGTTTTGTTCTTGTAGTAAAATCATTTATTCAGTTCACTCTATTTTTCATGCATTGACAAAACTTTATACAGTTCATAGAGAAAATAAAAAAAATAAAAAGATTGTTTATATTTTCTTGGTTGAAATCATTCATCATATATCTAAAAAAATAAATTAAAATAGATTTAAAAAAAAAAAAATAGCCAAATATTATGAGATATAGTGCATTGCCAAGTGTCATAATGGTTTCAATCCAAGTTGGCAGTTTTTGCATGAGATGAATAATTAGAAGAAAGTTTGATTAAAAATTACTTTAGAATTATTAATAAATTTGAAAATTCTAGCCAATGCCTTCAATTTATTCTATTCAAGCCAATCTTAGAGAATAAATTTATGATATAGTTGATTAATATTAACAAATGGTGCTCCTTAAAGCTAATCCTATGTGTTATTTGGCAGCTTGAGCTTTCTGTGCTGTTGCTGGCTACTACAAGACTGATGGGTATATAACTTTTCTTGCAGTTCCCATAGAGTATAATTTCAAATTGTTGGGATTATGGCTTCTTACTTGTTTTCACTGTCTCTATCAGGTGTGGCTCTTACTTTCTTCACTGACTTCCGTTCTATGCTTGTGAATTTTTCAAACTTGTCTCACCAAGGTGAATTTTATTGTTTTAATCTCTTTTAGTTTGAATATCTTTTCCTGGGAGAATCTTCCCATGACGATTTAACTTATTAATTGATGCAGAAAGAGACCTTTTGAGCTCTTCAACAGCTTCTGAATTTGATTCTGCAATGCGTGGTCTTTCAGATCCTGATGAATGTCTCTGGAGAATTTTTAATAGATCTGTAAAAAATGCTGGGGTTATAGATGAAAGTGAGTTTGAGTTTGCAGAATATATATGTGAGAGCAAGGTGTCTTTGGGTTCTGCAAACTTGCAATGTATTTCTGGTGATGACGCTAAACTTACTATTTACTACAGCAGGTAATCCCTCTAGGCTAGGCCCTCGATATGACCTAAAGTGATTTGGCATTCAATTTTAAGGCTTTGAGTTGAATTTAGTCCATAGGTCTCTTGTATTTTAGTTCATGCAGGTTTTTGCTTTATTAAATAGCATATTCAACTTGGTTATGTTGAATAAACTTCATTTTGGCACTCATGGCATTGGTTATATAATTTCTTTTATTTTAAGTTTGGTCAAATTTTATTCTTGGGTTTGACATGGGCTTCTTTTGCACAATGATCAGCAGTCTACAATCTAGCTCGTTTCAGTGCATGAATAGATTGTTCAGTATTTCTTTGGTCCTTATATATATATTTCTATCTTTGTGAGTATAACGATTGAATTATGCAATTTAACTTTCTGATATCCATCCAGATGCTAGGGTATTTTCAACATTTGAAGCTAGCCCTCATTTCCAATCCCTATTATTTGGCTGGTACGTGGCAATTGTCACTAATTTTTTTTTAACTTTTGGTGATAGGCTGGATGAGTGTGTAATGTCTTTAACATTTTTCATGTTTGTTTGCTTTTGTAGGGACTAATGAGGATTTGATGTCAAAACCTAAAGCACTATCATCTGGAGATGGACAGCTGTTAATAATACAGACTCTAGTTCAGGACAGGTTGATAATGAAAAGAGAAAGATTTTGGGTTTCGTGAATGATGATGTTTGTAGTGCAATTCTGACATACTTTCCAGCGCATGCTTAAGAAAGAAAAAGTTTTTTGGAACAGCCCTTACTCTGGGGTCCCTGGTGTTGTGGAGTGATGATTTTGAAGGCAAGGGTGATTTCGGCCAGTATCGTTCTAGGCTGGTATTTTACATTGATCTGAATTCAGATGCTTTTGTTTACATGTCTTATCTGATATCCTTTTGATGTGGGAGTTTTAATCTTCTGGAACTTGTAGTGTGGGCCATGGATCACAATATTCATGTTTTTGTGGACTGTATTCGATTTCTTTCATATGTTTTGAAAGTACCTCCAATTTGCCAAAGGGAGATGTTGAAGTATCCTTGGAATTTCTGCTATATATCCACGTCATTGATTTATTTTACTACATCTATGAAAATGGTTAATTAGTTGGACATATTTTTTTGAAATAGAAAAAAACAAAAGTACAGATAATATTTGCACTTATATATATAACATGTTATAAGCCTTTTCATCTCTTTTAATTTTTATTTTCTACCCTTCCTCAGCTAAATCCATTAACATGTTAAATTGAGTCTACTAAAGTGCTGTGCATATCTGTTACATTAATAAATTCAGATATTTGAGACTAGGTTGTCAGTTGATGAATCATGCACTTGCTGTTTCTTTTATACTTTGCATAAATTTTTCTTTTCCTGATAAATCTCTGATGCAGTTGGAGCTGGTCAAATTTGTCTCCTCTAACAAGCCTCTCATAGCTGGTGTTAAAGTTTCTGAAAGAGTTATTGCAATTATTAAAAGTCTCTTGAGTTCTCCAACACCTGCTCAGGTTTGATTAAAAGCTTATTATGGGATCAGTATTGGGTGCCTAATAATTGCTTCCAAGCTGTGGAGGATGTACATCACTATTACTTCATGCATCTCTTGTTATTAAAACAATTCTTTATGATATTAGGATTTAGCTGTGATGGAAAGCATGCAATCTGCTCTAGAAAATGTGGGGAGTGCAGGTTTTGATGGACCCAATGAAGTTGGTGGGGCACTTCTGAAGTTCATGTTGCCCTGTGCAGAATATTTGAAGGTTTTTAGTGCTTTATTTGTCTCTTACATTAGATCTTTATTAGATGATCTACTGAAAAAACTCTGGTTGCATTGTAGGTTTCTTCAACAACTTCTTTCTTTGAGTGGACTGACCACCCCTGGTGGAAGCTCCGGGACTATTTAATTGCACTGAGCCCCTTTCTGAAACATTTTCCAGTGCAGTTGAAGTGTATCAACAAACTGTTTGAGCTTCTAACTTCACTTCATTTGTTGTTAAGGTTATCTGCCAACTTTATTGTCATTTTTAATTATCATGCTACAGAGAGGATTTAATATTCCTGCTCTACTAACCATATATTTGCTTGACAGGATCCTGCAACGAGTAGGGCACGCCATGCAAGATTACAGATTTGTGCATCATTATTAGAATGGCCAAAGCTGCTGATAAAAGTGTTCTGCTCACATGAAGGTGACTTCTTTTATTGGCAAAAAAGTGACATGTACTATTGGGGTATGGAATTGACTGGTTATTGGAAAATAAAGATGGAGATTAATCTGAGTAGGAGATGGTTAATATGTAACTGTAGGCCAAGTCCTGGTGGGACCGAACAAAAGCAATGGAACTTGTTAATGCATATGTTACCAGAAGTTGTTTTTTTTGGTCATGTGGACTGTGCTAATTGCTCTTTTACTTTCCTACGAAACGATGTAATGGCTCCACAGGACCTTGGCTGGAATGGAGATAATTTAGCTTTACAATAAGAAATCACTGTTTGTACTAAGTAAAACGATATAGAACTTTTATTATATTCTCCTGAACCAAAATGTAGTAAAATCCTTTGTCATCCTATGTCTGCCTTTGATTGAAGAAGCTAAGATTTCAGAGAGATTTCGTACTCACTTCATTGGAGTTTTCTATGAAGGGCATAGCTGACACCATGGCATATTGCAAAGGAAGGTGTTGCATCGTAGTGAACATAATCTTCTAGGGGAAGCATTTCTTGTTATGGCTTCTGCTGCTGGGTAATTATTTGATTACCACGGATCAACATTATATTTTGTTTATGTTATTTTCTTAACGTTTGCAAAACTATCAACTTGGTGCAGGATTCAGCAGCAGCAAGAAGTTTTGGCCTGGTTACTTGAACCTTTGAGCCAACAATGGACACAGCTGAGTGGCAAAATAATTACGTCTGATCCACTAGGTCTTGTTTGCTTGTGCTCTGACACATCATTCATGTGGTCACTTTTTCACACGGTGACATTCTTTGAGAAGGCACTTAAAAGAAGTGGAACAAGAAAAGGCAGTATGAATTTACAGAACAACTCAGCTGAAAGTTCAAATTTTCTTCATCCAATGGCTTTCATCTTTCTGGATGCTACCTCCTCTCTGAAAGTATGTATTTTGCTTTTATGTTCTGATCATTTTGAGTTTCCCATTCATATTGTCATATGATTGTAATTTATGAGCCATCTTGCTGTGACATTATCTTCACCTAAGCACAATGTAGTAAGCCTGTTTTGTTAATCTGCAGCTCCTTGTGCTATACATTCCATTTGGTCTCCGTCCAACATCAAATGTTGCCGCAGAGGTAAAAGCGCAATGACCATGAGTGATGTTGAGTGGTCCAGCCTTCTTGGCGGAGGTAATCCTAAACCATGAAGGGTGCTTGACTTTCACAGACGGATCACAGTTTGAGACTAGCCGGGAAGGATATGGAGAGCCTAATGAATCTGATATACGAAATGGTTTAAAGGGTGTCAGAGACAGGGGTAAGTATGGTTTGGGTTTGCCTGTGGCATGGAAGCTAGTTTTTTATGTACAATTTAGTGTTCTGTGAATTTTTTCTTAATTGAAAAAAGGAATTATATTAAGATGTAGAAGAATGGGGAGGAAAGGGTGTCCTCTGAGAAATACAAAATGTCGGGGAGTGAGGAACTCAACAGCCGTATGAGCCAGAAGAACTATAGCAGTTACAACCCCAAGTGTATATCATGATGTATATTATGTCCTGCAGTAGATAAAGGATTAGTGATCACGATTACATAATAAGAAGCAAATAGTAGCCTTAGAGTCAAAATATGGAGTTATTGTACCTACTATGTATTCGTAGCCTTTTTGTTGCTAATTTTTTTTCCCCAAAATAATGCTGACTCATAATTTCAGGTATAATGTGCGGGGCTGTCAGCAACCATTGGAGATCCATTTTTTAAATCCTTGGACTTCCACTCTGTTGCTGTGGCACTGATGGAGAATGTACAGTCAATGGAATTCAGGCATATAAGGCAACTTGTTCATTCTGTTTTAATATATTTGGTTAAATTTTGTCCTCCTGATATGGGGAGGCCTGGCTGGAAAAGTTGCTGCACCCATTATTGTCCACTGTCAACAAGCTCTTAGCTGCTCTTGGTCCAGCCTTATGCATAAGGTAGAGCAAAGGTTCCAGATCTCCATGGGATTGTTGCTGGTTGACTTAAAAGTGGAAGTAATGGAGGAGAAACTACTTCGTGATCTGACTCGTGAGATATGTTCACTTCTCTCTATAATGGCCTCTTCAGGATTAAATACAGGGCTTCTGCTTTAGAGCAGTCAGGGCAATTCACCCGTGTAGACATGTGTCTCTGAAAGATTTGGATTCTTTCTATCAAGCTCTATGGTTGGGTATGTGGCATGCATCCTGCTTCATAAAAGTAGCCTTTCTGTTGTTTATGATGAATTTAGATTCTTTAGTTTTCATATTCTGCCCACAACACTAATTTCCACTGAATATTGATAATCATGACAGGTTCCTTTTGAACCACAAAGAACTTGCCTTCCAGTGTTCGGATTTCCATACAAGCTTTCACGGACAGATGGTGAAGCCGTGACAAAGTTTCTTCCTTCTGTACTGCGGTGATTGTTCTGGCTATATCAACAAATAATGAGGAGCTTCGACAGTTCGTTTCAAAAGATCTTTTTTCTGCGGCTATCCAAGTGTTGACCTTGAGCAAATGCTTGTATCAGTGCTGACTGGTTGGTCTCTGTCGCGAAATATTCGTATATATGTGTGAGGGATCCAGCTCCAAGGCAGGTTAGTCGAACGCCTCATATTTGAAAAGTTTGTTAAAATATATAAGTAGGAATTTGGTATATAACCCAAGGCATTGATTGATTTTTGTTCAGGTTCTACTCTCTCTTCCATGTATTACCCCACAAGATTTGCATGCTTTGAAGATGCCTTAACGAGACATCTAGCCCAAAGGAACAAAAACAACATATGAAGAGCTTGCTGTTGTTAGGTACGGGAACCAGTTAAAAGCACTTGCTGCTCAGAAAAGTGTTAATGTTATCACCAATGTTTCAGGTAAGCACTTTCATTTTAATTTTCACTTATTCTCTCCCTTAAGCTGTTTTCAAATCTCATCTGTAGCTTAAGACCCAATTTCAACATATAAGAGCTTTCCTTCATTTGTATATTCTCAATTCTGATAAGCAGTAAAATGCATATGTATTTAGTAGCTTGTTTTGCTCCTATTTACAGCAAGGCCCAGCAGTCAGTCAATGTTCCGCAAACCAGAATCGAAGAGGGGGAAACTGTGGGAATGGCAGCCATTTTGTGAAGGATTCTTATAATTTGGCAGAGTTGTACAGTGATGAATTACACCGAGGAGTTATTTGACAGATATACCGAGGGAAAAGGCATCTTTTTTGGCCATAGCTCTACAGGGGTTGTGCAACCAGTTCACCCTCTTAGGCTACCTCAAAATGTAATTTTGAGTAAAATAAAGAATTCTTATACCCTCTTTACTTTTATATCATGGAAATGAGGTTGTATTTGTACATGAATATGTTGTACTTCTTGTCTCATTGGCAGTTTAATACCACAAATGCACACCTGGTGTGTTGCTTTGAAATTCCGTCTTTCAAGGTTCCCTGCTATTCCAGTAAAGAAACTTCAATTTTTTGTTTGGGTTAAAATCCAAAGCAACCAATATTGTAAGGTGGAATTTTCCACTACACTGGAGCTATGGATACCGAATTTGTAGACCATTGGATGAAGATAAAATATCGTTTATTTTCCAGTAATGTTAATTGGGTTTAAGGCCGTATGGTACTGTTAAAACATCATAGAATGAACTTGTAAGAATGTTAGATTAGTTTAAAATAAAGTAATAGTTTGTGATCCCTTGTGGTGTTATTCTACTTTCTATTGTGAAAAACTTATTGAGTTTTAGGCCTTAGAAAGAAAGAAAAATTGGTTTCTGTGAATTCAACTTCTTGAATGTGGTAACCTTGTGAAATTTTATGAGAGGGATGAGTGGTTTGATTTAGGTTCAGGCTTTAAACAAAAGAGTATTAGTGATCAGACCGTTAAATTCAGTACTATACATTTGTGCTGTTGAAATATAGCTATGATTGGGTGTTTGTTTTTGAGGATCACTTTGCTACTTTGTGCTAATTTAGAGTTTTTAGTTCCAAACAGGCTTTGAGAATGGACTATTATTCTATTAGAAAAGAGGCAAAATTGAAAATGTGCTCCTTACGTGCTATCTGTTATTTGCAGGTAAAAACAGGAGAGATACGGTTTTTGGCGAGCACATCATTCCTTCTAGTGAAAAAGGATTGGTCTTCTGAAATCCGATTACATGCATTTAAAATGCTCCAGGTTCATGCTGAAAAGAATTTTTTTCTGTCCTTACGGTTGATCTAACTCATCCAGTATGATGGAAATTGATATGTTTCGAAATGTTATGTTATAAAAATCATCTTTGAGGTGCTATAGATTAAATCGGCTGAATTCTGATTGCATGCATTTAAAATGCTGCATGACAGTTTTAACTTGAATTAGCATATTTCCTAGGAAAGAAATAATGCTTAACTGTCCATCATATACAATATTTGCCAATCACTAGTGATATAGATTCAATGTGTTTATCTATGTTTTAAGCAATTTCAATTAGTGAACTGAAAATTCTTATCAATATTGGAGCATATCTATGGTTCGGAAATTTGAATTAGGCGAATCATAATTCTGATAACTTTGCAACCTAGATACGCAAATTTTGATTCAAAGAATTTGCAAAGATGGTTTTAATGTGAAACACCCAATGCCTGTTGAATTCCATGTAACAAAAAATTATTTCTTAATTAGCTGCTACAGGTTATAAGTGTTTAAATTTTGAAGATAAATTTAGTGGTTTGACTGTAGCATATGTATCTTTCTGCAGCACTTGGTCCGATTACGGTGGGAGGAATTGAACCCTACAGAACGTAGGGACTTTGCAAATGTTGCAGTCGACTTAATGTCTGAGATTGCAGATCCTTGTGAAGAATGGGCTTTGAAAAGTCAGACAGCTGCCCTTCTTGCTGAGGTTTTCATTACTCTGCTCTTAACTTTTGTTTAGGCTCTTTTTTATTTTATTTTGTTTTAATGATTTCAGTTTCCTGGTTGCAGTACTCATTTGTTTTGCTCTTTAACAGATAGTTAGAAGAGAAGGCATAAATCTGTGGCAAGAGCTATTTCCATCTCTAGTTTCTTTATCCAGCAAGGGTCCCATACAAGTATTTCTAACTTATCCTGCTTTGCAGCAATTATTTTGCTTTCTTACTCTTAATAGGTAATTGTACTGATCTTTTCCTTTTATATTAGGCTGAGTTGGTTTCAATGATGCTAAGGTGGCTTCCTGAAGATATTACAGTTCACAATGAAGATCTAGAAGGTCTGTGGTCTGTTCCTTGGTCATGCTCCTTTAGAGTGTGTGCGTGCCAAAAATAAGTATTATGTACTTTGGAAACTCTTAAGCACTTTGAATGCTATATTTTAGAATGTAAGCAGCCGATCTATGAACATCTGAATCCAAATGACAAGTATGGGTGTAGAGTTTCCAAAGTTTCATTTAGAGTTTGTTGCTAATGCCTGATTGGTCAAAGATGGAAAAGTAGAGAAATGAAAAATTGAAGAAACAGCATAGTGCTTTCCTTCTTTGTGTTTCATAGGAAGGATGGATCGCTGGAGGATGGGGAACAAAAATTGGGGATCAATATGTTCTTAATAACTTTTACTGTTGGTCACTCTCTTTGCCATCCTTTTTGGGATGATTAGATAATGAGGATGTAAAAGTACCGCTCTTCCCTCTTCAATCCTTTCCTTTTCTCATTATACCAAATGAAAGAAAAGTGTCATTCACTATCCCTTCATCCTTCTGCTGTCCTCTCCTATCAACCTAGCCTTAGTTTAGTGGGTGTTCTTCCTTTAGCGGCTGTTTTTTCCATCATATTTTTGTTGTTCTTGTTAAGTATATTTCTTTGAAACTTTAACTTCTTTTTAGATTTGTGTTGTTTGTGTCACTTACCCTGATTCTGAATGGATATCCAGGTGATCGACGTAGACTGCTTTTGCGGGGACTTACTCAATCTTTGCCTGAAATTTTGCCTTTATTGTACACTGTATGTCTCACTCTTGGTTGTACTACAAGTTAGTTGTTTTAGCATTAATGTGATGCCAGAATTTTTTACACAGTTACTGGAAAGACACTTTGGAGCTGCAATAAGTGAAGTTGGTAGACAACAATTAGACATTGCAAAGCAGCATGCAGCTGCAGTAACAGCTACTTTGAATGCTATAAACGCATACGCTGAATGGGCTCCTTTGCCTGATCTTGCTAAATATGGCATCATTCATGGGTATAATAACTTTTCTTGCAGTTCCCGTAGAGTATAATTTCAAATTGTTGGGATTGATTGGCTTCTTACTTGTTTTCACTGTCTCTCATCAGGTGTGGCTTCTTACTTTCTTCACCTGACTTCCGTCTTCATGCTTGTGAATTTTTCAAACTTGTCTCACCAAGGTAATTTTATTGTTTAATCTCTTCTTTAGTTTGAATATCTTTTCCCTGGAAGAATCTTCCCATGACTGATTTAACTCTTAATTTGAATTGCAGAAAGAGACCTTTTGATGCTTCTTCATCAGCTTCTGAATTTGATTCTGCAATGCATGATGTCTTTCAGATCCTGATGAATGTCTCTGGAGAATTTTTACATAGATCTGTAACAAATGCTGGGGTTATAGATGAAAGTGAGTTTGAGTTTGCAGAATATATATGTGAGAGCATGGTGTCTTTGGGTTCTGCAAACTTGCAATGTATTTCTGGTGATGACGCTAAACTTACTATTTACCTACAGCAGGTAATCCCTCTAGGCTAGGCTCCTCTGATATGACCTAAAGCTGATTTGGCATTCAATTTTAAGGCTTTGAGTTGAAATTTAGTCCATAGGTCTCTTGTATTATTAGTTCATGCAGGTTTTTGCTTTATTAAATAGCATATTCAACTTGTTTATGTTGAATCTAAACTTCATTTTGGCACTCTATGGCATTGGTTATATAATTTTCTTTTTATTTTAAAGTTCTGGTCAAATTTTTTATTCTTGGGTTTGACATGGGCTTCTTTTGCACAATGATCAGCAGTCTACAATCTAGCTCTGTTTTCAGTGCATGAATAGATTGTTCAGTATTTCTTTGGTCCTTATATATATATTTCTAATCTTTTGTGAGTATAACGATTGAATTATGCAATTTAACTTTCTGATATCCATCCAGATGCTAGGGTATTTTCAACATTTGAAGGTAGCCCTTCATTTCCAATCCCTATTATTTTGGCTGGTACGTGGCAATTGTCACTAATTTTTTTTTTAACTTTTGGTGATAGGCTGGATGGTATGTAAATTTTAACATTTTTCATGTTTGTTTGCTTTTGTAGGGACTAATGAGAGATTTGATGTCAAAACCTAAAGCACTATCATCTGGAGATGGATCAGCTGTTAATAATACAGACTCTAGTTCAGGACAGGTTGATAATGAAAAGAGAAAGATTTTGAGTTTCGTGAATGATGATGTTTGTAGTGCAATTCTCGACATATCTTTCCAGCGCATGCTTAAGAAAGAAAAAGTTTTTCCTGGAACAGCCCTTACTCTGGGGTCCCTGGTGTTGTGGAGTGATGATTTTGAAGGCAAGGGTGATTTCGGCCAGTATCGTTCTAGGCTGGTATATTTTACATTGATCTGAATTCAGATGCTTTTGTTTTACATGTCTTATTCTGATATCCTTTTGATGTGGGAGTTTTAATTCTTCTGGAACTTGTAGTGTTTGGGCCATGGATCACAATATTCATGTTTTTGTGGACTGTTATTCCGATTTTCTTTCATATGTTTTGAAAGTACCTCCAATTTTGCCAAAGGGAGATGTTGAAGTATCCTTGGAATTCTGCTTATATATATCCACGTCATTGATTTATTTTATAACTACATCTTATGAAAATGGTTAATTATATTGGACATTATTTTTTTGAAATAGGAAAAAACAAAAGTACAGATAAATATTTTGCACTTATATATATAACATGTTTATGTAAGCCTTTTCATCTCTTTTTAATTTTTATTTTCTACCCTTCCTCAGCTATAATCCATTAACCATGTTAAACTTGAGTCTACTAAAGTACTGTGCATATCTTTGTTACATTAATAAATTCAGATATTTGAGACTAGGTTGTCAGTTGATGAATCATGCACTTGCTGTTTCTTTTATACTTTGCATAAATTTTTCTTTTCCTGATAAATCTCTTGATGCAGTTGGAGCTGGTCAAATTTGTCTCCTCTAACAAGCCTCTCATAGCTGGTGTTAAAGTTTCTGAAAGAGTTATTGCAATCATTAAAAGTCTCTTGAGTTCTCCAACACCTGCTCAGGTTTGATTAAAATGCTTATTATGGGATCAGTATTGGGTGCCTAATAATTAGCTTTCCAAGCTGTGGAGGATGTATCATTCACTATTACTTCATGCTTATCTCTTTGTTATTAAAACAATTCTTTATGATATTCAGGATTTAGCTGTGATGGAAAGCATGCAATCTGCTCTAGAAAATGTTGTGAGTGCAGTTTTTGATGGACCCAATGAAGTTGGTGGGGCCACTTCTGAAGTTCATGTTGCCCTGTGCAGAATATTTGAAGGTTTCTTAGTGCTTTATTTGTCTCTTACATTTAGATCTTTATTATTATGATCTACTGAAAAACTCTGGTTGCATTGTAGGTTTACTTCAACAACTTCTTTCTTTGAAGTGGACTGAACCACCCCTGGTGGAAGCTCTCGGGAACTATTTAATTGCACTGGGCCCCTTTCTGAAACATTTTCCAGATGCAGTTGGGAGTGTCATCAACAAACTGTTTGAGCTTCTAACTTCACTTCCATTTGTTGTTAAGGTTATCTGCCAACTTTTATTGTCATTTTTAATTATCATTGCTTACAGAGAGGATTTATATATTCCTGCTCTCACTAACCATATATTTGCTTGACAGGATCCTGCAACGAGTAGGGCACGCCATGCAAGATTACAGATTTGTGCATCATTTATTAGAATGGCCAAAGCTGCTGATAAAAGTGTTCTGCCTCACATGAAGGTGACTTCTTCTTTTATTGGCAAAAAAGTGACATGTACTATTGGGGTATGGAATTGATCTGGTTATTTGGAAATTAAAGATGGAGATTAATCTGAGTAGGAGATGGTTAATATGTAACTGTAGGCCAAGTCCTGGTGGGACCGAACAAAAGCAATGGAACTTGTTAATGCATATGTTACCAGAAGTTAGTTTTTTTTTGGTCATGTGGACTGTGCTAATTGCTCTTTTACTTTCCTGTAACGAAACTGATGTAATGGCTCCACAGGACCTTGGCTGGAATGGAGATAATTTAGCTTTACAATAAGAAATCACTGTTTGTACTAAGTGAAAACGATTATAGAACTTTTATTATATTTCCCCTGAACCAAAATGTAGTAAAATCCTTTTGTCATCCTATGTCTGCCTTTGATTGAAGAAGCTAAGATTTTCAGAGAGATTTCGTACTCACTTCATTGGATTGTTTTCTATGAAGGGCATAGCTGACACCATGGCATATTTGCAAAGAGAAGGTTGTTTGCATCGTAGTGAACATAATCTTCTAGGGGAAGCATTTCTTGTTATGGCTTCTGCTGCTGGGTAATTATTTGATTACCACGGATCAACATTATATTTTGTTTATGTTAATTTTCTTAACGTTTGCAAAACTATCAACTTGGTGCAGGATTCAGCAGCAGCAAGAAGTTTTGGCCTGGTTACTTGAACCTTTGAGCCAACAATGGACACAGCTTGAGTGGCAAAATAAGTACTTGTCTGATCCACTAGGTCTTGTTTGCTTGTGCTCTGACACATCATTCATGTGGTCACTTTTTCACACGGTGACATTCTTTGAGAAGGCACTTAAAAGAAGTGGAACAAGAAAAGGCAGTATGAATTTACAGAACAACTCAGCTGAAAGTTCAAATTTTCTTCATCCAATGGCTTCTCATCTTTCGTGGATGCTACCTCCTCTCCTGAAAGTATGTATTTTGCTTTTATGTTCTGATCATTTTGAGTTTCCTCATTCATATTGCTCATCATGATTTGTAATTTATGAGCCATCTTGCTGTGACATTATCTTCACCCTAAGCACATTGTAGTAAGCCTGTTTTTGTTAATCTGCAGCTCCTTCGTGCTATACATTCCATTTGGTCTCCGTCCATACATCAAATGTTGCCTGCAGAGGTAAAAGCAGCAATGACCATGAGTGATGTTGAGTGGTCCAGCCTTCTTGGCGGAGGTAATCCTAAACCATTGAAGGGTGCTTTGACTTTCACAGACGGATCACAGTTTGAGACTAGCCGGGAAGGATATGGAGAGCCTAATGAATCTGATATACGAAATTGGTTAAAGGGTGTCAGAGACAGTGGGTAAGTATGGTTTTGGGTTTGTCCTGTGGCATGGAAGCTAGTTTTTTATGTACAATTTAGTGTTCTGTGAATTTTTTCTTAATTGAAAAAAGGAATTATATTAAGATGTAGAAGAATGGGGAGGAAAGGGTGTCCTTCTGAGAAATACAAAATGTCAGGGGAGTGAGGAACTCAACAGCCGTATGAGCCAGAAGAACTATAGCAGTTACAACCCCAATTGTATATCATTGATGTATATTATGTCCTCGCAGTAGATAAAGGATTAGTGATCAGATTACATAATAAGAAGCAAATAGTAGCCTTAGAGTCAAAATATGGAAGTTATTGTATACCTACTATGTATTCCGTAGCCTTTTTGTTGCTAATTTTTTTTCCCCAAATTAATGCTGACTCATAATTTCAGGTATAATGTGCTGGGCCTGTCAGCAACCATTGGAGATCCATTTTTTAAATCGTTGGACTTCCACTCTGTTGCTGTGGCACTGATGGAGAATGTACAGTCAATGGAATTCAGGCATATAAGGCAACTTGTTCATTCTGTTTTAATATATTTGGTTAAATTTTGTCCTCCTGATATGTGGGAGGCCTGGCTGGAAAAGTTGCTGCACCCATTATTTGTCCACTGTCAACAAGCTCTTAGCTGCTCTTGGTCCAGCCTTATGCATGAAGGTAGAGCAAAGGTTCCAGATCTCCATGGGATTGTTGCTGGGTCTGACTTAAAAGTGGAAGTAATGGAGGAGAAACTACTTCGTGATCTGACTCGTGAGATATGTTCACTTCTCTCTATAATGGCCTCTTCAGGATTAAATACAGGGCTTCCTGCTTTAGAGCAGTCAGGGCAATTCACCCGTGTAGACATGTTGTCTCTGAAAGATTTGGATTCTTTCTCATCAAGCTCTATGGTTGGGTATGTGGCATGCATCCTGCTTCTATAAAAGTAGCCTTTCTGTTGCTTTATGATAGTATTTATAGATTCTTTAGTTTTCATATTCTGCCACAGACACTAATTTCCACTGAATATTGATAATCATGACAGGTTCCTTTTGAACCACAAAGAACTTGTCCTTCCAGTGTTGCGGATTTCCATACAAGCTTTCACATGGACAGATGGTGAAGCCGTGACAAAAGTTTCTTCCTTCTGTACTGCGGTGATTGTTCTGGCTATATCATCAAATAATGAGGAGCTTCGACAGTTCGTTTCAAAAGATCTTTTTTCTGCGGCTATCCAAGGTTTGATCCTTGAGTCAAATGCTGTTATCAGTGCTGATCTGGTTGGTCTCTGTCGCGAAATATTCGTATATATGTGTGATAGGGATCCAGCTCCAAGGCAGGTTAGTCGTAACGCCTCATATTTTGAAAAGTTTGCTTAAAATATAAAGTAGGAATTTGGTATATAACCCAAGGCATTGATTGATTTTTTTGTTCAGGTTCTACTCTCTCTTCCATGTATTACCCCACAAGATTTGCATGCTTTTGAAGATGCCTTAACGAAGACATCTAGCCCAAAGGAACAAAAACAACATATGAAGAGCTTGCTGTTGCTAGGTACTGGGAACCAGTTAAAAGCACTTGCTGCTCAGAAAAGTGTTAATGTTATCACCAATGTTTCAGGTAAGCACTTTCATTTTAATTTTCACTTATTCTCTCCCTTAAGCTGTTTCTAAATCTCATCTGTAGCTTAAGACCCAATTTCAACATATAATGAGCTTTCCTTCATTTGTATATTCTCCAATTCTGATAAGCAGTAAAATGCATATGTATTTAGTAGCTTGTTTTGCTCCTATTTACAGCAAGGCCACGCAGCTCAGTCAATGTTCCGCAAACCAGAATCGAAGAGGGGGAAACTGTGGGATTGGCAGCCATTTTGTGAAGGATACTTATAATTTGGCAGAGTTGTACAATGATGAATTACACCGAGGAGTTATTTGACAGATATACCGAGGTAAAAGGCATCTTTTTTGCTGCCATAGCTCTACAGGGGTTGTGCAACCAGTTCACCCTCTTAGGCTACCTCAAAATGTAATTTTGAGTAAATATATAGAATTCTTATACCCTCTTTACTTTTATCATCATGGAAATGAGGTTTGTATTTGTACATGAATATGTTGTACTTCTTGTCTCATTGGCAGTTTAATACCACAAATGCACACCTGGTGTTGCTTTTGAAATTCCTGTCTTTCAAGGTTCCCCTTGCTATCTCCAGTAAAGAAACTTCAATTTTTTGTTTGGGTTAAAATCCAAAGCAACCAATATTCGTAAGGTGAAATTTTCCACTACACTGGATGCTATGGATACCGATTCTTTGTAGACCATTGGATGAAGATTAAAATATCTTTTTATTTTCCAGTAATGTTAATTGGGTTTAAGGCCGGTATGGTACTGTTAAAGTATCATAGAATGAAACTTGTAAGAATGTTAGATTAGTTTCAAAATAAAGAAATAGTTTGTGATCCAACGCGATTCGCATGTTTTGGTTGCTGCAATAATCTCACATACACTTTTGGGGCGTTTAGTTCAGAGAATGTTGAATTATTGGAAATATTATATTAGAGAGAAGATAGATTACTTTGGGGTGTGTTTGGTTAGGGGTAATAAGGGATTACTGAGGTAATGTCATCATATATTATTTGATTATCGCGTCTGGTTATCAAGTAATATAATATTTCGGTAATCTTTTAAAACCAATAGTAATGGTGAGCAGTTTCGAGTACCTTGTATTTTCGGGAGAATCGAAACCGGAATCGCATAGTGCAAGTTTCCAAAAAAAAGAATCGGAATTGGAAATTCAAGGAACCGAAACTTGAAATGTAGGTTCTGGTTCCTTACCTTAGTATCCTTTAAAAAATTAATTGCCCCCCTATTAGTTTAAAAAAATGACAAAAATACCTTAAAAGTTTACAACTACACCCCTAACAAATTAAGAAAACCTACATTTAGTAGTTTTCAACTTTTGATTACTCATTCATTTGTGTCTAATATGACTCATAAATCCTCTAATTTCTAGGCAACACTTGAATTCAATCAATTCATCACAATTCACATAAAATTTCCTAATCAAAACCAAAACATAAACAAGTTCCAAGTTCGGGTACCTGCTTCAGGTTCTTTTCCCAAGTTCTGGTTTTGGTTCCAAAACTTGTAGGAACTAGAACTGCACAGTGTCAGTTCCAATAAAATGGAACCGGAACCTACCCGCACAGTGTCGGTTCCAGATAGGTTTCGGTTCCAGTTCCAGTTTCGATTCTACCTGCTACCCGTGTTTACCCCTAATCAATAGTAGTTACTGTTGGTAATATAAGAGGTAATCTGATTACCTTTATTTTCTTATGTATTTTAAGATTACTTGGTAATCTTATTTTTGTTACAATTTTATCTTTTATTAATAAAATTTTAGGACAATAATGCCCTTATTTTAAAAACAATTTACAAAAATGCTAATGAACTATTTATCGTTATATACAAAAATTTTAGGACATATATGCACAGGAATTAGAAAAAATTATCCAAGGTGATGGCCGGATTTGGCCACCATTGCTAGTCGTCGGCCACCACCACTCGCATTGACGAAATGACGTACGATCGATAGGATCTAGCTGGCCGTGCAACATTAAGGCTGTTTTCAGCCATGGATTTGTGATCCAACGCTAGAAATAGCCAAATCTGGCCGTTTCACAGCCAAAGATGTGGCCGTAAAATGACCACAAATCTGGTCGTGAAACGATGGCCATTTCATGGCCAGATTTCCACTATCACTGCCGTGGGTAGTAGATTGGGGTGGGTGGGGGTATTTTTGTTAAGTTTTAAACTTTTTTTGTTGTTGGGGTGTTTTAGCTAAATCTGAAATGTAAGGGGTTAAAAAAATTATTCAAAACTTATGGACAATCCTTGGAAGAAAGAACATGGGAAATCCACAAAATGCAAATATAGATATGCACAGCCTGGAAAGTAAAAGTCACAAAGGAAACATGGTTTAAAGAATTTGAATGCAAATGTGATCAAATAAGCCTCTAATTTTGACACATTTTGAACTCAGAGACCAGAGCAGCCTTGAATGGTAGATATTGAAGAAGACTGGTAGGTGCAAAGTGTTTGATACTAAGACTCCATTGAGGGTTAGGAACAATGTGAACAAACTTGGTGGATGCTTCTAGGTTAAGCGATAACTTTCCCGTATGGGGCTTTGTTCCATTCTCAAAAACTTACCAAAATCTTAGTCTCTTTAAATATATATATATATATACATATACACACGTATTTGCAGCAAGAGAAGAGAGAGCTTGTGAGTTGGGGTGTTTTGTCAAGTGTGTTTCTGGGTAGTGCTTTAAAGAGAGAGCTAGTAGCAAGTAATGGGACCAGGAGGACCAGGGCCACCAGGGTGGGGTCCACCGCCGCCTGGTCCTGGCGGACCGCCGGGATTCTTCGGTGGCTTTTGTGACATTATTGGGTCATGGTACGTAGCATATGAATTTGTTTTGTTCTTGTAGTAAAATCATTTATTCAGTTCACTCTATTTTTCATGCATTGACAAAACTTTATACAGTTCATAGAGAAAATAAAAAAAATAAAAAGATTGTTTATATTTTCTTGGTTGAAATCATTCATCATATATCTAAAAAAATAAATTAAAATAGATTTAAAAAAAAAAAAATAGCCAAATATTATGAGATATAGTGCATTGCCAAGTGTCATAATGGTTTCAATCCAAGTTGGCAGTTTTTGCATGAGATGAATAATTAGAAGAAAGTTTGATTAAAAATTACTTTAGAATTATTAATAAATTTGAAAATTCTAGCCAATGCCTTCAATTTATTCTATTCAAGCCAATCTTAGAGAATAAATTTATGATATAGTTGATTAATATTAACAAATGGTGCTCCTTAAAGCTAATCCTATGTGTTATTTGGCAGCTTGAGCTTTCTGTGCTGTTGCTGGCTACTACAAGACTGTTTTGGAGGCCCATTAGGCCCACCTGGGCCTCCAGGCCCACCAGGCCCACCAGGTTTCGGGCCGCCACCTCCATGATCAGAGTCAGAGTCTTGCACCGTCCATCCAGAGTGTTCTTTGTGGTTTTAATTTATATTATCTCAATAAATGACATTGACTACAGTGGTTGGGACACCTGTATCTTTCAATTTAATTATGATTTATAATATAAGGTTGTTTATTTATGAGATTAATATAATTATCACATGTTAAATATTTATTGCCATATCTACCAAATATTTAGTGGTTAGGTTGCTGCAAATAATTGAGATTCTTTTATTATAGGTTTGATTTCAGTTAAGAGAGCACTTCTTAATAATTAAGCATTCTCTTTTAACAATGTTAAATATATAAACTCTTTAAATATAAAATATAATTATAATACAAAGTGAGTAGATTAATTCATTATTAATGAAAAAAATAAGGAAACATAACTAACTTTTCTATCCTAATAATACACGTGTCTTCTAACTTTGATTTTCACGAAAGAAAAGTCTGATATTTGATGGAATTAATACAAGAAAAAACATATCACTTACCAAACCTAACAAGAAAAAGATGCCCATTTCTTTGCTTCATCCTCTAAAATTCCTTTATCCAATATAAATCACAAAAGTTCAACTAATTTGATTTTTTTTTCTTAAACATATACATCAATTATAACGACAAAACTCATTTACCAAATAAAATATTTCATAAGTATTAAATAAGAAAAAATAACTTTTTAAACAATCACATGGCTCGACCTCATAAAATAACTAATACTGAATCAATTTGTCCAATATAAATATACCTAATAACCCTTTACTTTTCAAAAATACTTTTGATTCTATATTATAGGTTATACATATCGTTACAAGTTTGGTAATCCATATAAGAAACAAGAGGTATAATTTTTTTTTATTTTTTAGTATAAAATATGTTTAGGATTATACAAGAAAAGTTATGCTAAAGTTGTATCTAAATTACAAATCATGTCCACCAAAGTTTGATTAACCAGCAATACTTCAAAAGTATGAAAGCATGGGCACTTCTTCTACATTGAAATATTTGATCTTTGAACAATAGGTTAAATTTTATATCTCCAACTTAAAATAACCAACTGAAAGATATAACTCTGTATATTATAAGATACATATTATTGATGCGAAAATTCATTCCAACCAGAGATACCCAATCGACCTCAGAAGGGGTTAGGTAAGATGTGCATGTGATTACTGATAACCAACAAGGTCAATAAAAACGACGTAAAAAAATAAAGAACAAAAGAGATCTTATAGTGGTTTAACGGTATAAAGACCAAGCCTACATACACTGTTATGTTATTGCTTAGAATGTTACAAAGCTAGGAGAAGTTACAAGAGAAGTGTATGCGAGCTAAATGGAAAACATTTAGCTCTCGTGACCTTCTCTCTTTAAACACTCCTTTACACGGACCAGTTTATTTTCCTTTTTAACTTTATTAAAACTGGAATCATCTTTTGAAACAAAAGCTATGGACTCTTTTTATACTTGATCTGCTTGGTAGTGGTTGACAATGGGTATTACGGGGTTGCTTACATGCATAATCCTCTTAATCAAGGTCTGAGTCAGTAATCTCCATGCTTGTGATAGACTAGGTCATGCAAATAGTAGTCTAACCCATGCTTAAGACAGTAATCCTCTTGTGAGAGAAGGTAAGCATTGATGGGACAACAAGTAGAATGATCTTAGCCGCTAGGCTTTGATATACCTTAAGGACGTCGCGTGACACAAATCTGACTGCCAGGAAATTAGACACAACACATATATTTGGTTATAAGTTTAGCAATCTATACAAGAAACCAGACATGCAATTTCTTTATATAGTTATATATATAGTCTAAATTATGTAAAAATTGTATCGAAATTTATAAACCATGTCGACCAAAGTTTGCTTAACTAGCAATATTTCAAAAGTATGAAACCACGGGGCATTTCTACATTGAATATTAGTTTCTCCATCATCCAACTTACAAGTCTTCCATTATCCATATCTCAACAAGACTTCTCTACTTACTAGTCAAATTAAGACTTTCATTTCCATAGACACTTCAAGAATCCTTAACCCTTAAGCCATTAAGTCAAGCTCTCTAGCTACTTCCCTTTCTTCAACCTATAAATTCATACACAGCTTTACACTTTCTTGATCATCAGCAATATCGTTCCTGTTCTAAGGACTTCAAGAGCGTGCTAGAGTCAGAAAGAGAAAGAGAAAGAGATGCCGCCACCAGGTTGGGGACCACCGGGCTGGGGACCACCGCCACCAGGAGGAGGGCCACCCGGTTGTGGTTGCTGTGAGTTTCTTTGCGGTGGACTTTGCCGCCTTCTGTCTTCATGGTAAGTTTGTTCTTAAACACCCTCATTTTTAACTCACTGTAATAAAGTTTTAATGGATCAAAAATATATTGTTTAGTACAAATTATCTTAACAATAATACTAAACAGATGGCAACTTTATATCCCAAATGATGTGGCTGTTTATATATCAGCAGTGCACCATCTTGATTAAATAACTTCCTTGTACTCAGTCTAATATTGACATGTAAATTGTCAGATCGTATAGGATATAAATTCAATATGGCTATAGATGGAGTAAGACACAAAAGGGTGGAATTTGGATATTAAAAAGAGAATATTTTGAATTAAGCTTCAACCTTACTATGTTTAAAACTTTATGATCTTTATAGAAGTGAAATTTAGGGAAGACGATAAGGCCATTCTCGGAATAAAATAAATGTATAATTTTATTTAATCATTTTTATTTAATAACGGGTTTAGAAAGAGTTTTAGTATAAGGTTTAATGGGTGATCCAGATATGATTCATTATTTATAAAAAATAAAAAAAATAAAAAGATATTTATGTGATTAAATCTAAAAATTTTGATATTTAATCAAATGAGTATTCATATATTAAAAAATGCTGAAAATATAAATAATTTATGTCATAATATTAGTACAAGTAAAATGAGTGAATATATATTAGTACTGAGTTTGGGTGTTTTTGTGGACAGTTTCTATGTGTTGTGCTGCTGCTGCATATTTGAGAGCTGTTGTGGGCCAATGTTTGGTGGGCCAGGTGGACCAGGTGGGCCAGGTGGGCCTCCTGGATTCTGATCACTTCATTTCCACCTAATATATCTTCTTATGTAATGTGTTGTATGGTTCCTTGTGTTTATGTTGTGTTAAATGTGTGAAGTATGGTTATGGTGATGCTTATCAACTTTACCTGAAAACATCAAAATGGATTATGCACTTTTGGTTATCTTTTTATAATAACTTTATATTATGCTTAACTCCAATTAGATTCTTCTATACTTAATTTTATAAGATGAACAATTAAGCCGTGACACACTTGAAGAAATGCAAATCCATATTTCATACCACAATAATGAATATGACTACATAATAAATTTTGTAACATGAGCGTATACTCCGCACCCAGAGATGAAGAAGAAGGGGCGTAGCACGCGACAAAATGAAATGTACATACAATGTTTTGAGGAACGCTTTCATCTGAGTGAATTCCACAGTCAAGCTTTTTTAACCCATGGAATAACACCCATGTCTTCAAAGTATTACAGCCAAATCCACAAGCATGAAACATGAATTGGCTGAAAACTGGAGAATTATTAAAAGGGTAAGCTCAAAATCACATGTTTATTCTGCATTACAGCTTAATCATCAAACATTCTAATGGTGGATTTTTGGATTCTCATCTATAATTGACAGATTTACAGTATTTGTGGATTCTTTATTGACATTAGTTTGGCAATTTAAAAGCAATTTTTTTTTTTTTGATAACCCGGGTATCTGGATAACTTACGCGCACCTTAACTAATCTCGAAAATCCATTGAAATTAAAAAGAAAAATAATTGTACTCTTTATGTAATGTTTTAGTTAGAAAAATTGGTTTAAGGAAATCAAATACATATATATAGGTCCCTTGATGAATGACTACCCATTAGATCATGGCACTCAAGTGTTCTAATCTAATCAAATTAGCAACAAAACTTATTATATTTTCTTATTCTATATCAGTTTTTATCTCCTACAATAAATCCTGTAAATTCACTCAGATGAAAGCGTTCTTCAAAACATTGTATGTACATTTACCCTGAATAAAATAAATGCGACCATGAGCAAAAACTTCTTCCTAGACAACAAATGCAGCATGCTGAAACCAATAATTCTGTTTGACGTTCATGACCGACGAGTTCTGCGTCAAAGCATATATCTACCACTTCTTCTCAATCTTCTTCTTCAGATGCCTCCCTCAACCACTGCAACAAAGAAATGCATGTGTTAAAACAGAATAGTTGTATGCAACCAGAGTACGGAAGCCTATACTTTATACAAGATGCCCCATAAATTGCTTAGAAACAACTGTACAAAAAAAGTGTAAACTGTGGAGAAACTTCATGACCGACGGTATCAGATGGGGAAAGGAAATAGAAGCAGAAAGAAGGAAACTGCGGCACCATTAGGTTTACAAGGACAAAAGGAAGTATATACAGGAGATAACTAACCCAATTTCTCAGGCAACTCAACAATTTTTCTATCCTCTTTATTGTTCTTTGCAAGATCAAAAGATTGCGCAAGCAACCTGGAAATCAGTTTCAACCATTTGAAATGTTTTGAACTCAATGGTATCTCTATCAATGACATAATCAAGAGGGTCCCAGCATATCTCTCCCAGTTTATGCAACATTTACATACATGTAGCTCTATATTTTTTCAAATGCAGCATTCCTCTAGCATGCTTAAACTAGAATTGCTTCAAAAATTGGTCAACATAAAACCAATCCCAGCTCACACAATAGTAACATAGATAATTCCCTCTTATAATAACAGAATTGAAAAGAATATTACCAATAGAAAAGATTTTCTTACTTGGATAAACTTCTCTGATTGCTTAACAAAAATTTTATCTGACTCATCTGCCCCTTCTTTTTCAGCAGCCCACCTTAAAATAGCATCTTCTTCTAGAATGTCTTTATCATACAGAAGATGCAAAATCTGCAATAGAAAATAAGAGAGATTAGATTTTCTAGTGAAGAAAATGACACAACATTCATGCCTCTGAATTAGTAACCAAAAGTTCTTATCTAATAAAGTTCTTCCAAGCACATGTATTATCAGCATTTAGTAACCAAATTATATTAATTAAAAAACAAAGATACCCGTGCAAACAATGGAGAGAACTCCTTTGCAGATTCCAGACAGATCTCTTCAAATTTCAGGATCACTTCAATCTGTAAAAACAATATGAAAAATTAGGATTCACAAGTACCCATCTAATAGAAGGAACTAACGTAATTTGAATCCATAAAGTTCTTAATCTAACACACTGGGGATCTTTTCCTACAAGAACCATATTTGAAGAAGCAAAGACATAAATAAGTTGTCTGTCTTGCCAAAAAAAAAGAAAAAAAGGAACCCCAGCATGTTAAGACCCAAAAATCTATTGGAGACAATTAAAACATAGAGTACATTATATACCCAGAAAACACAGGCTGGCAAGGAAAGAAGTAACAATAAGCCAAATAATTAAATTTAAACGGATGAGTGCCAAAGCAAGGAGAGAGTTATCTAAGGAGCCTGCAATAATATAACATATGATATAATTGGGAGCAATCAACAGAAAGCTAACTTCTAAAATATTTTAGAAGACGCTCTTAGGGGTATCCCCAGACTGTGAGTAAAAACCAGTTATTTGAGGATCAAAATATTTATGATGATAAGTTAATAAACAGTCAAGTTTAATAGCACAAACCTCCTCATCTATATCTGGTAGATAAGACTTCAGAAGCTTCTGCCAAGTCAATATTACATTAACAGTATTCTGATACAATTCGTCTGAGAGGTAGAAGGAGAAGTATTAGTAGCTGTGACTAAGGTATGAGGTGGTAATCAAGAAATAAAAAAGCAACAGACTGCAATAACATATGAATTGATCTTTCGATTGAAAAAATCAAATAAAACAAACTTAGAGAGAGTATTCACACAAAGGAATTAATACATTGTCATATCCATCATATAAAGAATACTCACTAGCTGAGTTATGTGATGTTTCTACAGCCAATTTCATCATTGAGTAAAATAGTGCTCCAGCACAGTCTACAGATGTCATATTATAGGACAGCCTGATGTTTGCAATGAGAAATATATTAGAGACGATAGTACGAAGGAACTAAGCTTCAGTGAATCCATATGTGAGTATCATAGAGAAAAAGAAAGTCAAAATATACATTATCATGTAAGTAAAAATAAAATAATGCAGAAAGTTTACAGAGCTGTCCATCTGACAAAATGTAGATCATATACAAAATTGCCATCCAACAGTACTGGGTCGGTCTGGCACAATGCTAAAAGATGTAGCATGGCATGCAAAAGCGCCCAATCCAAATTGCAAAATGCATTTCCATTTAGAGAACAAGTGAAATTTAAAATTATGATAAACAGGGAACATAGCAATTTAGTAAAAACCCAAAAAAAAATAAAAATAAAAAATAAAAACATACCGAAGTGAGTTCACTTCTAAGATCACATGTTCTACTTTCACATTTTCATGAACAGCCCTCAAAAATGTTGCCTCAACCTGAAAATCATAACGGAGTAACAAAAGTAAAGTTCCTTGTTTATGTATATCAATGATAAACATTCTAGTTTATGTGCTACTCGCCTCTTTCTCAAAGTCGGCAGAATCATCTTTAATGTCTTCATTATCATCTCCAGAAGCATTGGAGTCAGATATCAACTCTCCTGAAGGTGAAAGAGCAGTTCCATCTTGAGTTAGAAGTTCCTGATCATCATCTACAGCTTGAGTGATCTCAGCTAGTTTATCTGCAGGAATGGGGGCAACTGAATGTCTCCATTCCTCTTCATGGCCTCCTTCACAGATTGACCAAATGTAACCAACTCCACCAACACCAAGCTGACAAAGCACAGAAAAATTAGTATAAGAGGATGGACCAAGAGAAAAAGGAAGAAGAATTTCAAGTGATTGAATTCTACAGAATACTAAGAAGCCACAAAATTCATGAACTCAATTGCATATTCTGATTCAAATTGAGGTTTAAAAAAAAATTATAAATTTGGTTTCATATACTTTCCAATTGTACAGTGAACCATATCTTTTACTAAGTATTGCACCCTCTAAAATTGTTTCCACATGGAATTCCAATTCATCTCCAAGCGAAAGGCAGTGAATAATAGCAATTATTTACAAATACAATTGAATAGTAAACATTTAGTCATGCGACACAGATATTCTTTTAGAAATTTTCAACAAAAGTAAGGATTCATGCAAAGGTATTAGGCAGTGTTACAGGTTTTAGGACATTTAGAAACCCATATGATAGCTACCTCAGATTTATGCACTTCGGATGATTCATTTTCCATGTCCCCGTTCAACATATCGGCTGTACTTTGAATTGCTGAACACCAAAGAAGTTATAATAAGAAAATATGGCACAGATTGAATTGCATCTACTCTTAAAAAAATTGCATGTAGATGCACACATAAAATGAGATATATATTTAAAATAGTGTGAATTTATCAACCAAGGCATCAAGTTGAAATTTTTCACACTTCACTTGTAGTGAACCTTGATGGTTTCAACTAGCCTCATTGTACCACTAATTATTAAAAACTGAAGAAAATAATATACACAAAGCATATAACCCACTTTGCAATTATCAGAAATGTCAACGCACTTCAAAGAAAGGCCTTCAGAATTATTGGAACAGAAAATTTTCTTTTTAAGTTTTTGTAAAGTAATATCATAGCCACTAAAAAAATAGAAAAACATTGACAATCAAAACATGTTCACATACAATAAATTTCAAGATATGCACAGCCCGAAAATCAAATTCATGATTAAAATATCGCTATAGACAAAGTTTCAAGAGATATTCCTACTCAAATTGCAAGTTTAGTTTCCACAGAAAAAAATTAAAAAAAAAAATGAATAAGATAGCAGAGGACTAATTTCTCAGAAAGTTGATATCAAGCATAGGAAAAATCCAGAATTAGAATTAGCAATATATTAATTGTACAACAATAAATTATAGCAGCCAATTACAACAAATAACAAGGGTTAATGGAGCAAAATGTTGCAAATTATCTTGTTATTTCAATAAAGACACTTGATGTCCAAACAATTTCCTCAATCTTCACGATGATTACCTTGCCCCAATTATCGCATGATCTAAAAAGATACCATACAGAAACTATGCACAAGTACAATCTCACAAATAAAGAATGATAAACCAAGATTCTATAACCCAATGAAGGCCATGCTTTTCCAATATCAAAGAAAAATCTTCAAAAACAAATGAGCAAGTGGCCTACAAACTTACAAGAAAGTTCTGCATTCGCACTGCTATTGTCAGCATATTCAAGTTCCTCGTCACTATCTTCCACAGTTGGCTGTTGAAGTAAAGACACTTTTGAGTATGCAGGAACTACAAATTGTTGTCCAATTACAACCTGGGAGAAGAAAAACGTTGAGAGACCTTACAAATGTAAAGTATGTCAGATGTTAATTATCACCAAAAGAATATCTTTGAACTTTAAATCATACAAATTTTAAAATAGAAGTGACTATGAAAAGGAGAAATACAAAATTTTAAGGCCTATAGCCACATGATGTTCTTAAAAATGCAAATGGGTGCTCCAATTGTCACCCCAGATAAAGGCCTTCTCAAATGTGTGACAGTAAACATAATATAGTTATACAAAAAATCCTCATAATATTCCAAAGGAGACTCAACTTTGAACAATAACTTCAATCACTCTACTTGTTTTAAAGAGCTATAGCTCCTATAAGGACAGGAATCACAATTTGTGTCAACCAAGACTGAAGAGCAATCAAGCCAACAGTAGGTATGGCTTGGTCATCATTGAGGTGGGTGATCTGTACAAGTCAATACAAGCTGTTTGCATTATCAAGATTGAACTGCAAATAATTGCATGTAGCAAGTTAAGACAGTGTTATCATAAAATTCTCAAGGCATTGCATGGTTCACCCTAATGTCATTGCTGACAACATCAAGCTTTCTCATTTTCATGAATAATTGAAAGAAAAGAACGTCAAGGAATGGGAAAAACCCAGGTATATGGCTGCACCCTACTATATGACTGTACCACTTGTTGAGATTAGGTAACTACAATGTCAAATTAAGTTCAATTTTTTTCAATCAAAATACAGACATAATAGATTTACAGGAATCATGATGATACACAGAAATATGTTGGGCAAGAAACACCAACAAAGACAATAAAGGGAATAAGTCACTTTAGCAGCCCATGGGTACTTTGAGTGATAAATTAATACAATTAAAATCCAAAGTTTGAATTGCCCTATATCAACCACATGTAAATTACATTTCACTTCTGAAACTCAGGAAATTTCAAAGACATTCAAAGGGGAAGAAAACAGTATATGATACGGAAACATTAATTAAATGTGAATATGATTTTGCAAATTGCTTGAAGCATCTCCAAAATGCAATTTTTTTTGGACAAAATCTTAAGTCTAACAATGCATTTAAACATAAATATTGACAGGAAGATATAAGAAAGATTACATAACAGTTTAGAAAACACACACCTTGAAAGATAAAACTGCACCAGGTTTCAGAACTGCTCCTGCCTTCAATATCACCCCATCGCATACAATCACATGCCTTAGCTCACAGCTATCCTCAATTGTGACATTATCCCAAACATAGGAACCTTCTATTAATACATTTGATCCAATAGTACAACCTTCCCCAATAACTGAATTAGAAATTTTAGTGTTGCTCCCGATTTTGGTGCCATATCCAATAACAGTAAACGAACCAATTTGTGCAGAACGTGATTGTATTATTTCTGAAGCAAATGAATTTAATCAAACTTCAATTTAGCAGAAAAGCTTGCAAAGAAGTAAAAATATTTACAAAAAACAACAATAACCAACAATGTTGAAGGACTGAAAGACAAAGGTTAGGAAAAATGACAGCAACAATCAACAGTAATTAAATTATATTTGTTACCCGATGCTCGATACATTCCTTGTCTCTCAAGTTTTGTTGCACGATTGCCACAGAACTTTACATCAGGCACATAAGGATATGTCCACCTTTGAATTATGTCCTTGCTTATGATATCATAGCTTCGATAGTTATCAATCCTAGCCGCATAACTTGAGTGAATTTCATGAGTGAATATTTTGTAGCCCATAATCTGACAACAGTTATAATTAGCTTAAAAGGAAAAAAATTGAATTGGAAAAAAAGGGCCAAATATCTTTAATGTTAGCATTATGTCAAAATGAACTTTAATGCCATCCATTGATAAATTTAAATCTAAATAATTCTTAAATCATGTTAACATGAGATGGAGTGAATAGATAGAAGAAAAAATCTGAAACATCTATGACATGCCTAAATGTTGGAAACAGATCATTTTTTTTTTTAAAACGCATATGTAATCTGCTCTTTAATGGCTTCAAGGTGCATAGGTTCACATATATACAAATATAAGATTATCTCTAATAAGAGAACATAAAACAACAGATAGCCATCCTGCTCTTTCATAATTCATGCAAAGAAACTCCAATCACTTTCAAAGAATTGCCAATTCTGCAGCAACAATTATCAGATTATGCAGCTTGATACATGGATTTTACAATGTGAACAAACAGTGTGTAATTGTCTTATGCTGGTCTTCGATGTCCATGTTCATGGAACAAACAAATCTCATGCATTACATGCAAGAATTCACTCATAGATTTCTTTAAAATAGCATAAAGAAAAGATGTTAAAGTTCAATACACACATCATCAAGGAGCAATCCCTTCACAAAATGGCGGCGAAGATGTTGATAATCAAAATTATCTGTAAAAAGACTCAGAACTTCTGGAGAGCATATGTCAATATAGCAATCCTGCAGATTAAAATAACATTTTAGTATAAATTAAAAGCATAAAAAAATGTATAGCATACAATAAATCGCACCCCTATCTTTAGAAAGTTGAAAAGAAAACAGAGCAAAAAAAAAAAAAAAAATTAATTTGAAACCTAGTATCAATCAAACAACCAATGTTATGAAACTGAAGAAGCCATTCCAGAACTGCAAATGCAAATTATAACAAACCAAAGACCATAATGTAGAAACACTACTTGAACTTGCAACTTCTACAAAAGATTCTTAAAGCTATATATTTTCAATTTTTTCATGGGCTGGGGTTCATAACCTTACAATTTTCAAACATGAGATGATGGAAAATAGATTTATATCTTGCAGATTACAAAAAATTAGAGTTGGCCAAGATTCGCAAAAAGTGGCAACGTTAGAAAACAAGTGACTGCAACTTTTCCAATGCAATTTTACTGAAGTCATGAAAATTAAAGGCCTCAATAATTGGCTATGGCTCGTGGAAGGGTAAACAACAATAATCATTATTTGATATATCAGAAAAATAAGTGCATCATCCATGTCAGACAAACAATGAACAATTGCTCACAATCAGCACAAAACTAGAAAATATTGAACTTGTTACTGACAAAATGAAGTTGGTGAAAGGATGCAAATGATGTACCTGCTTGTCATTGTGCACGGAAATTGAAGGATTATCAGCTAGCAGACTTTTATCGAGAGTTATGGTCCCTTTTGAATGATCTGCCTTATCCTCGTAATAAAGAAGTTGGTTTGTACCAGGATCTATTGCCATAAAGAGCTCATCAGTACCGAGCCTGGATTGACGAGTGATCGAAGAAGTTTTAGACTGTTTAATAATCATTGTCATAACAGCATTACTATCTTTCTTCTTCCTCTCCTTATGTTCTTGCAATGCCTGCGTCAGTGACATGTTGCTCACCGTGTCCCCACTAATTAGAACAAAATCTCCATGTATCTGAATGCAATATATATTGCAGTTTTAGTGCAACTGAATGAACTTAACCAGCATTAACATTTACCTAAACATTGCAAGTGAAAAGATTGACCTACCACATTGCGTTCGTAAATCAAACGTAAAGCATCACCGGCACTAGGAGTATTGTGTGACTCAATTGTGGTAACTGAAAAATTCGGCTGTGAAAGCCACTCAGAACTTTCCAAATAATCAATTACTTGCCTGGAGTGAGCACAACAAAACACAAAAACCTCTTCAACCCCAGCGGATTCCAGCCATGCCAAAGTGTAATTTATCATGGGAACATTCACCAACGGCAATAACACCTTCAAAAACAGTGAACAAATTTGAACCCATTTCGGAACATTTAACAGACGCATAAACACAAACATTATCAAGGCATTAAATTAGAAACTCACTTTGGGGCGTTCGAGAGTGATGGGTCGAAACTTGGTGGCGAAACTGTCCGCCAAGAGAACGGCTTGTAACGGCTGACGAGCCAAATCATCTGGGTCCTCTGAAACCCTAGGTGCACCCTTCTTATGTGCAACCATTTTGATGAATAAACAAGAACTGAAGGGAAGTGAAGTTGAAAGAAAGCTGACAACAGTTGCGTTGTGTTGCTTGAATTCTGAATACTGAATGCGTCCGGTTCGGTGCCGATTGGTAATCGATTAGTGGGTTCAATTAATGGTAGTCGAAAATAGCTGATTCAACAATTGGGGAGAATAAAGTTACAGAACTCAGGTTTGATTTTAATAAAATAGAAAATAGAAAATAGTCAAAATACCGTAGTTCTCCACTGGTAGAAACTGATTATTACATTCTCCCCCTCAGCTATGCTTCAATGACAAAGTTCTCCGTCACGTTTGGGGAATAACGAAAAACCCCTCTGTGTTAGATTGCCATATATTTTATCGTTTGACTGGTTGTGGACATTGATGCGAGGCTTGAATAATTACGATGTTACCCTTCTTTTTTTTTTTTTTTTAATAGTCAAGATATTCATACCAATTTACACGTACCTTAATTAATCCTCGAAATCCAATAAACACCTTACAAACTTAAAGAATCAAGTAAGTTACAATATGATAAGTAACTCNAATAACGAAAAACCCCTCTGTGTTAGATTGCCATAAGGTATTCTATCGTTTGACTGGTTTTGGACATTGATGCGAGGCTTGAATAATTACGATGTAACCTTTTCTTTTCTTTTTTATTTTTTTTTAATAATTGACATGTTCAGGCCAATTTACACGTACTTTAATTAATCTTCAAAATTTAATAAACACCTTACAAATCTAAAGAACCAAATAAATTACAATATAGTAAGTACTGTAGGGGTGTTCAAAAAAACCGGTTGGAACTGGAACTGACGGGTACCCTAGGTTTGGTTCCGGTTCCTACCCAAAACTAGTCGTCAATAGGTAGGTTCCAACTCTAAATTTTTGGAATCGTTACTGTACGGTTCTGTTTCCGGTTCCTATAGTTAGGAACCAGAACCGAAACCAGGAACCGAGACTAATATAAAATAAAATTAAAGATTAGGGGGGTTAATAAAATTTTTTGTAGAAAAAGTAACGTGAATACATTTATATTTATATTTCATAATATTTAAAGTAAGTTAGTTTGACTTTTGAGAATCTACCTTTACAAAGTAATAGAGTTTGTAATTTTGAATTTGTAATTTGTAGTTTTATTTTTGTTAACAAGTGCCAAATGGGGGGGTATTTGTAAGTTTTTAAGGGTTTTTTTACCATTTTAAAAACTTTTGGGGATCCATGTAATTATACAGGGTACTCAGAACCGGAACCAGAACCGTTGTTACAGATTCTGATTCTGGGTACCTAGGAATCAAAACTGTCGGTTTCGGTTTCGGTTCCTTCAAAAAATGCAGTATACCCAGAACTGAACACCCCTAATAAATAGCTCAAGATTCAAATATAGGAAGTCAATGAAGAGAACAAACCTCTGTTATCGTCAGACCAATTCTTAGGGGTATTATCTTAAAACGATTAATATACAATTCCAAAGATAGTGATTAAGAATTTAAGAGCATTTGGAACTCCCTTTTGGGCATATAATAAAAAATGAACTTTCCACCAAACAAATCTTGTGTTTCAAAATATTCGTATTCATATCATTGTGGAATAATAAATTATTTTTGTTGAGGGAGTTGAATCCTTCTCCTAACTTCCGATCTTAAATTGCCTTTCTAAAACATTTTGGGAATCTTTTTCAGGACATACTGATTGATATATTGATATTGGGTCGTCCATTGGCACGTACACGGTAGCATATGGATTTAGAATGTGTATAGTGCTTGCAAAATTCACTTGTCTCCCCCCATGCATTTATTCCCCAAGAACAACGCTTTCTTCTCCAACCTTTCTATGCGACACCATTTCATCCCTGACCTAACACAGTTTATCAAGTTAGAACAAAAAATCCTTCCTTTGGAGGATATGGATGCCTTTCCGCTCATTCATTTTAGGATTGAAGGAACCTATACCAGGCAATGGAAAGACCAGGAGAAAACTCCTTCCATATATTCTACATTATCAAAAATATTTCCATAAAATCCCCAAAAATCATCTTCTATTCTACAAGGATCACTACTTTCAACATAAAGTAAATTTCAAGGTAATCCATTTTGTATCTCCAGGTTTACATAGGCTTATAGAATACATAATACCAGCAGAATTTGGAGTCGTAAAGAATGTTCCTCCATGCCTACTACAACTGTCTGATGGCATCAATTCATCCCATTTCGGTAATTAAATCGTCTCATCAATGACTGAGGAATTAAAATTGTTGGAGAAAAGCACCCACCCATCTTTTGAATCAAGGACTTTTGTTAAGGAAAAATGAAGAGGAACTGTAATTGTCTGCATATTTTAGAATTTTTTTTCTTATTTTATTTTGTGCATGTATGCATTTGAGATCAATGAGTTGTATAAGAATGTTCCTCCATGCCTAGTACACATTTCTGATGGCATCAATTCATCCAATTTCAGTAATTGAATCGTCTCATAAATAAAGGGGTTGTAGAAACTCACGCACGATCAGAAGGAGAGGTGTCAAGTGACTTTTTCAAGCTCTTTGGTGGCCAGCCTCTCCTCACAACTTTTGGTTGACGTTGTGGTTCACTATCACTATCTTGCCTAAAATTTTTTAAGTCCTTTTTTGCCATCTCTTGAATGATTTGAGCCTTCAGAAACATTTTCAACTGTCACACAAACAAAAGAAAGAGAACCCTAAGAAAACACATAACAATCTGAAACCAGATTAAACCTGTTGGAAGTAAATCGTATCTGGTGAATTATACTGCATTGCATTGGAACAAATGAGAAAAACATTTTTCTGCACAAAGAAAATGATAGCCAGAAGTGTCAAGTTACTCATAGAGCAACATCAAACATTTTCACCAGAAAGTAAAGCAAGTTTAATGGAAATTAAGAATTCCTTCATGAAAGCTGAGGAACAATGGAGACTGGTCTCATTTTTAAATTAGAAAAGGCCTATATGGCAATCACACATTCTAACAATTAAGGAGTCATAATAATGATTCATATTTAAGTCATAAGCAAGATTGATTCTTGAATCTGCATTACACAATCTCTGAAATCTCCCAACCTCTCCTTCGTTACTCATCCCAGCAATAAATCTCTTAACTCCCTCAACTCCATATCTCTTAGCATCTATATAATTCTATCCACCTAAAGGCAAATGTAAAAGTATGATTAAATAGAAGAACATATTCTGAATTTAGACAAAAGGTGCAAAAAAAGAGCATCAGCACATTAGCTTCTCAACAGGTGAACTTACCTGAATTTCAGAGATCAAGTGTAAACCATCATATGCACTGAGTTTGCACCAGCAAAAGAAAAGGTAGACTCGACAATCATTCATTGTCTCCGCATAAATAACAACACCAAAACATGACACCAGGCTAACCACAGGACATATTCAGACAAAAGGTGCAAAGAAAAAGCATCAGCACATAAGCTTCTCAACAAGTGAACTTACCTGAAATTCAGGGATCAAGTGTAAACCATCATGTGCTCTAACTTTGCACCAATAAATAAATCATGGTGTTATACAGGAACTTCACCAAGATCTCAGAACATGTTTATTATCTTCAGCATAATGATTTAACAACTAATTCCAAGAAAATAGCAATGTACATTACTACTGTTAGATTAACTTATCACATAATATTGTTGGTCCTGCACACAAAGTATTAAATCTAAATCCATTGCCAACAAAAGTGCACCAAACAACAATCAACATTTAGAAGATGCATTAAACAGGAAAAATTAAATATACCTTAAATCTAAAGAGCAATAAATGATATACTTCTCAAATAATAAATCCTCAATGTCAAATTTGCAAAACACTGATACTATTAATAAACCCTAATTTTCTAAAAACTATACGTATTATTTCTTATTTTTTATAAAATATAATTAGTTAATTTATTTGTTAGTTTGAAGTAATTTTAGTATTTAATTTCTAAAGCTAATTTGGAAAATAATTAAAAAGTTGGTGTCATTAATACAAAACTATAACATTAAAAACATAGAAATTTCAACTACCTATTCTTGTTTCTCCTTCAATTTGCTAAAACCCGTGACACCATCTGTTCATCCAACTTGAATCCTGCTAACTCTGCTTCCTTGCAAACCTCTTTGCACTTCGCCAACCTCCAAGAAACCATGTATAATTTAATAATGTCCCAGTATATGTAATACGTTGGAGAGAAACCGGTTTCCTTAAGTTTTGAAAAGTATCTCACAGCCCTTGAAAGATCATTCAAAGCAACAAAAAGCTTTATAACAACTCGATAAGCCAGAAGATCAAAGAGACAATTTGAAGCCTCCATATCCCAGACAACATTCAATGCTTCCCTGTATTTCTGCTCAGAATAACGGCTCTCAATAAGGGTAATGTATATACCACACTTGGATCTATTCCAGATTGTCTAAACCAATGAAAGAGACTCTCCACAACATCAAATTTATGTAGCCTCACGCCGACTTTCATGATAGCTGTACAGTCTTGCTGACTTAAATTCAATTCTTCTCTTGGTCCAAGCTCATCTAGTAAGGTCATGACAAGCAAGTATTTATCAGGATTTCTACCCAGCTCCAGTATCAACTCCACATAAATGCTTGGGTCCAGCATTCTTTTAGCAGCCTCGGCAGCCAAGAGAAGCTTCCAAGCAAGCTTCAAATTTCCACCTCCAATAAAACCCCTCACCATTGTCTCTAATACACTCCGACTAGCCAAGCTAGTGAACTTCTCTAAATTGAATGGCACTTTTAACTCATGGTGCCTAACAAGACCTCAACTGTAGAAGCCAAAACCCGACCATCTGGGAAAAGATGAGGCTGCTTCTGAACCCAACAGAAAGCCTGCAAAGCTCTCTCAGGAAGCCCCATGTGACCCAATTCTCTAATTGTTAATGACAACGACCCTTCCGCAAGAATCTAGCACATTTGTCAAGAACTACGGACACATCGTCATTTGAAGTAAGGCCTTTGATCTCCCTGGCTAAATTGATGAAGAAATTTGGGTTTTTGTATACTTGCTGACACATAGATGCAAGCGAAGAGGCTATCTTTGGAGCCGCTAACGTAACATGCTTCTTTGAAGTGGGAAGTCTGAGTGGCCTTAACTTGTGAAAGAGTGGCAGAGGCCTTTCTCTATATAACATTCAAGGTTTTTGAGGAATTCTTGCCTGAAATAGAGACG